GCCCAGTTTTTGCTCCAAAGAGTGACATCGCAAGTCCTGGTCCCTAAGATTTTGGGTTCAATTTTTGCTCCAAAGAGTGACATCGCAAGCCCTGGTCCCTAAGATTTGGGGCCCAGTTTTTGCTCCAAAGAGTAACATCGCAAGCCCTGGTCCCTAAGATTTTGGGTTCATTTTTTGCTCCAAAGAGTGACATCGCAAGCCCTGGTCCCTAAGATTTGGGGCCCAGTTTTTGCTCCAAAGAGTGACATCGCAAGTCCTGGTCCCTAAGATTTTGGGTTCAATTTTTGCTCCAAAGAGTGACATCGCAAGCCCTGGTCCTTAAGATTTTGGGTTCGTTTTGACATCGCAAGCTGGTCCCAAGATTTGGGGAGTTTTTGCTCCAAAGACATCGCAAGCCCTGGTCCCTAGATTTTGGGTTCTTTTTTTGCTCCAAAGAGTGACATCGCAAGCCCTGGCCCTAAGATCTTGGGCCCAGTTTTTGCTCCAAAGAGTCAAATCGCAAGCCCTGGTCCCTAAGATTTTGGGTTCAATTTTTGCTCCAAAGAGTCAAATCGCAGGCCCTGGTCCCTAAGATTTTGCATTCATTGTTGCTCCAAAGAGTGACATCGCAAGCCCTGGTCCCTAAGATCTTGGGCCCAGTTTTTGCTCCGAAGAGTCAAATCGCAAGCCCTGGTCCCTAAGATTTTGGGTTCAATTTTTGCTCCAAAGAGTCAAATCGCAAGCCCTGGTCCCTAAGATTTGGGGCCCAGTTTTTGCTCCAAAGAGTCAAATCGCAAGCCCTGGTCCCTAAGATTTTGGGTTCATTTTTTTGCTCCAAAGAGTGACATCGCAAGCCCTTGTCCCTAAGATTTTGGGCCCAGTTTTTGCTCCAAAGAGTCAAATCGCAAGCCCTGGTCCCTAAGACTTTGGGTTCAATTTTGCTCCAAAGAGTGACATCGCAAGCCCTGGTCCCTAAGATTTGGGGCCCAGTTTTTGCGCCAAAGAGTAAAATCGCAAGCCCTGGTCCCTTAGATTTTTGGGTCGATTTTTGCTCCAAAGAGTCAAATCGCAAGCCCTGGTCCCTAAGTTGTCGGGGTCGATTTGTGCTCCACAGAGTCAAATCGCAAGCCCTGGTCCCTAAGATTTCGGGGTCGATTTGTGCTCCACGGAGTCAAATTGCAAGCCCTGGTCCCTAAGATTTTGGGCCCAGTATTTGCTCCAAAAGGTGAAATCGCAAGCCCCGGTCTTTAAGATTTTGGGCTCATTTCTTGCTCCAAAGAGTAACATCGCAAGCCCTGGTCCCTAAGATTTTGGAATCGATTTTTGCTCCAAAGAGTCAGATCGCAAGCCCTGGTCCTAAAATGTTGGGCTCAATTTTTGCTTTTCCCTTCTCTTCTGCTGATAAAACACAAGAAAGGAACTCATATGATAAAGCAGTGGAAAGGTAAGCAGAGGGTGACTCCTTGCGCGTGAGCCTTTCCATAATACTCCATCATATTCATCCTCTCGGCCTATCTCTTCTGTTCCTTTCCTTACTCTTCTCCTTCTCATAGTTCTTCCTTTTTGTTTTTCTCATTTCGAAAAGAAAGAGGGAAGGGAGAAACAAGGGAGAGAGAATAGATAAAGAAGAGTGCCATCTTCTCTGCGCCTTGTTTTGTCTCTCCCTCTTCTCTATTCATCTGTCTTCTATTCTCTTCCTTGCTCTTCCCATTAAATATGCAATCCTTGGTATCTCTCCTCTCTCCTTCTCTCTTCCTCCAACAGATGTGCTTTTGGATCGTTTTCTGCATCTTCAAGCGAGAAAAAAGGACACAGACTGCGATTAAAAGGGACGCCCATGTTGGATTGGCAGCAAGCCCAGCTGATGCTCATGATTCTCTCTCTTTCCCTACACATGGGCGATGGAACGGGTGTCCTTTTCAATCGTTTTCTGCATCTTCAAGAGAAACAGGGACACCCCACAAGAAGGAAAAGCAACATAAGAGATAGGGAGGGAAATTGACCCTTTCCTCTCTTCTTATCTGCTATTTTTCTTATTCGCTTCAAAAAGCAACATAAGGGAAAGGGGATTTCCTGAAGAGGAGAGAGGGAACCTATCTGTGAAAAGCAAGAATGGTTTTTTCTAGTTCGAAAGGGAATAGGGAGAGACAAGGGAGAGATGATATGTACAGCTTTGCGCCTTATTTTGTGATTCCGTCTCCTTGCTTCCTGTCTCTTCTATTCCTTGCAGCACGCTTCGGGAAACATAGCATCCTTGTTATCTTTCCTCTCTCACTTCCCTTTCCCTTCTCTTCTTCCGCTTCCTTTTAACTGATAAAACACAAGAAAGGAACTCATATGATAAAGCAGTGAAAAGGTAAGCAGAGGGTGACTCCTTGCGCGTGAGCCTTTCCATAATACTCCATCATATTCATCCTCTCGGCCTATCTCTTCTGTTCCTTTCCTTACTCTTCTCCTTCTCATAGTTCTTCCTTTTTGTTTTTCTCATTTCGAAAAGAAAGAGGGAAGGGAGAAACAAGGGAGAGAGAATAGATAAAGAAGAGTGCCATCTTCTCTATTCATCTGTCTTCTATTCTCTTCCTTGCTCTTCCCATTAAATATGCAATCCTTGGTATCTCTCCTCTCTCCTTCTCTCTTCCTCCAACAGATGTGCTTTTGGATCGTTTTCTGCATCTTCAAGCGAGAAAAAAGGACACAGAATGCGATTAAAAGGGACGCCCATGTTGGATTGGCAGCAAGCCCAGCTGATGCTCATGATTCTCTCTCTTTTTCCCTACATATGGGCGATGGAACGGGTGTCCTTTTCAATCGTTTTCTGCATCTTCAAGAGAAAAAGGGACACCCCACAAGAAGGAAAAGTAACATAAGAGATAGGGAGGGAAATTGAAGAACTCCTCATTGTACTTGGTCATTCCCTTTCCTCTCTTCTTATCTGCCCATTTTCTGTGCGCCTTGTTTTGTCTCCCCCTCTTCTCCCATCATCTCTCTTCTGGTCTTTTCTTTGCTCTTCCCATTAAAAATGCAACCCTTTTTATGTCTCCTCTCTCCTTCTCTCTCCCTCCTCTTCTCCTGTTCCCTTCTAAACGACAAAAACGCAAGAAAGGAAGAATAAGAGGGGAATGGAGGCCCTGTTCCTTTTCCTCTTTCAATGGATGGGGGAAGTGGGCGGAGTTGGCCCCTTGCCCGTACACCCTCCCCATGCTTCAGCAAACCCCTCCTCTCGCCCTATCGCCTCTGTTTTTTTCCTTGTGCCCAAACGGAAAACGAAAACGGGTTCCTTTATATGTTCATTGTCCTTCCTTTTGTTTTTTTATTTCACAGGGAAAAGAACCAGAGAAGAGGAAGATAAGAACGAGAGGTGAGATGAAAACGGCACCATCTTCTCTTTGCCTTATTTTTGCACCTCCCTCTCCTGTCTTAATTTCTCTTCCACTCTTTTTTTCCATTGCTCTTCCCATAATATTGCATTCCTTTTGATAACTCACAGGAAATTAAAATGGCCTCCTTGTTGTCTCTCCTCTCTCACTTCCCTTTCCCTTCTCTCCTTCTGTTTCCTTTTAATTTTAACTGATAAAACACAAGAAAGGAGCTTGTAAAATCAAGCAGTGGAAGGGTAAGCAGAAGGTGACTCCTTGTGCGTGGACCTTTGCCGTACTTCACCATACCCCTCTTTTCGGCCTATCTCTTCGGCTCTTTTCCTAACCCTTCTTCTTTTCATCTTTCTTTTTGTTTTTCTCATTTCGAAAAGACAGAGGGAACGGAGAGATAAGGGAGAGAGGATAGATAAAGAAGAGTACCATCTTCTTTGCGCCTTGTTTTATCTCTCTTCTATTCTTTTCTTGGCTCTTCCCATGAAAATCGTGTTCCTCTTATCTTTCCCTCCTTCTCTCCCTTCTCTTCTCCTCACGAGAGCCTTCGACTTTAGGATTGAGGAGAAAAAGAGAAGAGAAAAGAGGAACTACCTGGTTCTTGTTCCTGAGGCCTCCATAGTACGACTGACGTGACAGCAGCGTACCCTCGTGGAAACGTAAGAAAACCCGAGTCCCAGCTTCCAAATAAACCCTATTAAAGCCACCCACCCCCCCCCCCCTTCCCAAAGTACTCTTATCCTTATTCCAAGACCCAGAAAGGGTGATTGTCGGAAAGCCCGAATCGGCTGGAGCCCTTTGCTGAGCCGATGACGGGGGAGGTGGTCTACAGGAGCCACCGCGGTGGCAACCTCATAGAGGCCTCGGGCCCGAAACCAATCTCTTGACCCGGAAGGAAAACATGAATGCTGTCAATTTTTGCAAGATAGCATGACTGACGACGGCATGTGCACCCCTTGTCAGTCCTTCTGCAGCAGCCTCACCCACAACGCCCCGGCTTGTCGAGCTCTGATACCTTGAAATGAACTCGATGTCAAACAATCGAAAAAAGCGAAAGAGAAATCTCTCGCGTCCCAGGCGCTGGACTTCGTCTTGTCCACCACCTTTTGGATGCATTTCCGAGCGTAGGTGGTCGGCGGAAGCAGAACCTGCTCAACCGCCGGGTCTCGGAACATCTCTGCCGCCAAGGCCAGGTCCAAGAAAGTCGCCATCTGTTGGTTGATTATGGCCCCGAAGGTCTTCTTGGCGATGACTCGGGCGCCCTTCTGGCTCTCCGTCGCTCCCTCTGCAGTCGGCCATGCTTTCTCAGCCAAGCTCTCCGTATGTCCCTCACCAGGCCACCTAAGCCATCGTTGCCTCTTACTCTGACAGGGTCGAAAAGGTTTTCCTTACCCATCCTGAACTGCTCCGAGAGCCTGTCGATGGCTCGGTGGCATAGGAAGACGTTTCCGCCGAAGCTCATGTAGAACTCGTGAAAAGCATCACGGTTCTTCTCTGCCTATGACGTATCAGTGGCTAGCAAGTCAGCCAAGAACACCAAATTCAGCCCCGTCTTGGGCAAGCTGCCTGAGCTAGCAAGAGCAAACTTGGAAAAGCCCAAAGCCGCGCACTCCTGTGCCACATCCTGAGACAAACCCCACTCTCCCAGCACTGTCAGCATGGTCTCATTTTCGACCTCCGGAACCACGTTCGACTTGAGGGCGTCAAACTTGTTGAAGCCAAGGTTTTGCAGACCCAGTGGAAAGGTGTAGAGGCGACCGGAATCACGCCGACCTTGCGATCCTGCTTTGTCAGTGCAACCAAGAGCTGGAGAGCATTGGGGGCAGCTTCTCGCTTGGCGGTGTTCTCACCATTGCCATTCCTTGTCGGGGACGCTGTGTTGGCTTCATCGACGATGATGACTGGAAGCTCGCTATCGGCAACAGCAACTCCTCCGGCTTGGGAATATCCAGCAGCTCGGACAATGCCAGCTCTGCTCCCCAGACGCAGCATCGTCGCTGTTACTGCCCGTGAAACTCTGTTTGCATGCTGTCTGAGCGATGGTCTTGAGCGTTGCCAGGGGCTTTACAAGAAAGGGGGGGCAGCGTTTGTCACTCCATGTGCTCTTTGCTTGCGCGTGCAAGCATTCCAAGTGGTTTGTCGACTCCGGCTTTGGTGGTTTACGCATGTCGAAGTAGAGCAATGCAGCGTCATCGCCAGCTTTGTCAGCGAGGGTCTTCACAATCTTGGTCTTGCCCGAAGACTTACCCCCCAATGACGAGGTGCAAGCCTTTGTTTCCCATAGCCTGACAAGGCTTGCGTGACATCTTGAGTGGTATCACATTTGCTTTACGATCTCCTCTGCCATTCAAAGAAACAGACAACAAACCCATCAAGACCAGAAAGCTCCATCGCGCCGCCTTCTTCAATGCTTCCATGAACTCCTCACGCCCAGCAATCCCCTCACATCTTCCACGTATTGCTCAGGGCTCACGCCCTTGTCTCGGGCGGCGCCTTGGATGCCTTTCGGAATACTGAAGGTCGCGTGGGGGTGGCAGATCCAAGCCAAAACACAAGGTAGAATCACCGCAAACTGCGTTTCTCTTGTGAGCCATGGGGCTCAAGAGCTTGATTTGAAGGCAAGTCCACACCCTGCCGCTTCACTGTGTTGATGTTCAATCTAATTATCGTGGAACTGCGGTCGCCAAGACTGAGCTGCGAGTGTTACGGCAGTTTCGCAAAGGCCGAAACTGAACAGTCGAGCCGAAAGCTGCCCCAAAGGAGCGCACAGTCACCCAAAAGACCTGTACAGGTTTCAGATCGCGTGGCACCTAGTCAACATAGCACCCTGTCAAGCCTTGTGTCTTGAGCCTCTGTTTTCGCCACATGGTGGCATGCGCAAAGTGCTTAGACCTCCAAACGCGAGTACCTTCAGGCGCCCTATGGCCTAAGCTGGAGATCTCTGAATTGCAGCGAGGTCCTGGGAACTTGGAAACCTGGCACATGGGCGCCTGCAACCCTCAACCAACATCCCAAACCCGGATTCGCAGGGTAAGGGGGCCGCTCTTTTCAACTTCTGAGGACGAATGGAAATCAGCCAAAACCTCCAAACCATGTTGTTTGCCAAACCAAATCAGCCCTTTAAGCCCTATATAGGCTTTGCAACCGCTAAAACTCAGAAAGCTTGTAAATGGTAGCCGGCAGCATGCTACTAGTGCCTGCAAAATTACGCAAGCCCAGGCTCCCCTGCACCGCCGACCTGTGACATCGCCTTGCCGCGCAAAGAAGAAAGCCAAACCAATAGCCCCAGCTGCGGCCGCAATGGCCGGAAGCCCAGACATCGGGTTTACGATTCCATGTTTGAGGCTCTTCCTGACGACTTTGAGGACACCAAGCAACTGTTAGTGTGCTAGTCCATGCCTCCTGCATTACAACCCTGCTGTGGTCTAGAGTCTAAAGATCATTCTATTCAAAAAGCACAAGCAACTCTACTCGATGCGATTACCGTGCTGTACTGTATTGGCATCATGAGGTCGTACTCTGGACTTCCTGACCTTTGCTAGTGGTGAAGCTCATACACTTGTGATTCCAATTAAATTCTGAGGGCTGGAAGACCAAATGTGGCAGCATCAGGAGAAATAACTCATGGCTGGGCCTGCGGCAGACAGACTTGGAGTCACCAGTTTTCTGAAGTTCGCATCCCATGCTTTCTCGACAGCCCGGCCCCAATCCGCAACCGAGGCCCCCCCCGGCCTCCAAGTAAACACCAGACAGCCTTGCAACCATCTTCGCCATGTCATCATGCCCGGACGGCGAGCCCCCAAGCGAACTCAACCCACAAGGCCCAGCAGGCATGCAAAACCACAGCAGAAATCCTGAAAGCCCCCTGTAAAGCCACAGCCCGACAGCAACTCAAAAAGCGCCCTAGTGACCCTAGTGTCTCGAAGTTGCTGACAAATTGTCCATTCCAAGATTGAAGCGCTGCACTTTTTCTTCGGCGCTTGAGCCGACCAGTCCCGAAACTTCGCTGTTGCTGCAGGAAATCCTCCGGTCCAGCAAGGTCCAATCCTGTGCCGGTAGAATTTCGAGATTGCGACATTTGGCCTTGAGCTTCTAGGGATTTGAAACTAAGACCCTGAGTCATAAACATCTGCACCCAACCATGATTACTACTTCTATGTACATACTAGGATACTACGATTGTTACTATGCCAGCCCTTACTTGGAGAAGCTCTAAACTCAAACCTAGGCAAACCCGTTGCAGCCAAGTCGCTCGTGCAGACCTCGGGGCGAAAATATCAAATGCAGAAGGCCTGGTTGGAAGGTTATCCATACAGGCAGGGTTGTCCATGCAGGCAAGAGCAGCCGAACATCCGCACAAATGTGCGTCAAAGGCCCTGGATGTCCATCTACAGAGGCTCAAATACAACGAGCGGCATTTGCCTGGCGATTGTCTCAGCCCGTGTCCCGGCAAGGAGGAGGAGCCTGGGAGGGGCTTGGGCTCTGTGTGACATGGTTCTCCGCGTGCTCAAGTGCCCTGGTGCAAACACCAGGTTAAATGCCATTCTACTGTAAGCGATGAATCAACACATGTTGTCATGCAGCAGCGGCTCTGCCGGTGTACTGCTTGTAGATCCACGAATAAGCATGCGATGCTAATGCTGCTCACTGTTCCAGACTACTCAGGTCTTGAATTGCATCGCTCTCGTGCAGCTGCTGTATTCGAGCAAGGGCTGTCGCTTCAAAGGCTGCCCTGTGGGGCAGCGTGGTATACCGCTGATTGTTCAAAGCGTGGCTCGTGGATGTCCCATGCACGTATCCGTGATACTCTGCAATCAATTACGTCGACAAGCCGAGACGCTCGTCGCTCAAAGTGACATCCCAAGCTCCACTTGCATCCTGAGATCAGGACTATGTGGGTGCCTCGTTTCAGCTCTCCTGACTGCAGGCTTTTTGGGGTCCACGCCCTGGTCCTTCATCCCAAAAATCATGAGGCCGGCACCGTTTTGGGGTTTTGTGGCCTTTCAAGGCCTCTTGGGGCATTCCAATTTGTCTCGCGGCCAAACTGGCCGGTTTACTTGCACGTTTGTCGAGCCTTTGTGGGATGGTCCCTTTGTTCGACACCTCCCCCCTCCCCACCCTTCCAAAGAAAAAACAGAATAAAAAAGAAAAAAGAGAGAGGAAGCACTACAGAAACAGCCACGTGAACATTCTTTTTTAAAGCCCGATTTCAATTGCCCAGGCGCCATCTCCGAGTGGCCGATCCGGAGCCCGGGCCACTTTACCTGTACGTGTCTCCAGAAGCTATCATGAAAACATGCTATTCCTTTGGGCTTCATATGGAGGCTTACGATATTCAAGGGTACCATTCTTGGGGTCCTCATTATAAGGGAATCCTACCAACAAAGTTGGTTTTTTGTATTAGGAGCCCTGGTTATCGTAAACCCCTGTATGATTAAGCTAACCACAGAATTCCTGAAGGGACTGCGACGGTTGCGGCGCTCTTACCCTGAACCCTCATAAACCCCAAAACCACGAAACCCTAAGCCCCCTAAACCCTATAAACCCTAAACCCTAAACCCAAAACCCTCAGCTGCAGCACCTTGGAAACGAAGCTTCCGGCTGAGGCCGCGAGCGCTGCCATGGGCATCGTTAGCCTGGGCGTCTATCCCCGAGGTCTAGCAGACTTGGGCATTCCTAGAAACCTGTTTTAAACACCTTTTTTTGCCGATGTGTAAAGCTTAGTGTGGTTTTCTTTGATGGTATTACCTTTTGCGAGCCCCTTCAATGCAGCCCAATTCCCAGTGCAACACCACTCACACCACGACACAATCAAGACTCCCGTGTGCATTGTCCGTGTCAGAGTAAGGTGATGCAGGGGCCTGAATATCTAGAATGGGGTTCTGGGGGTTAGAATTATGTACGGACCCTAGTGACTAGTCCGAGCCCTATATTATTCCTTTTTTGCTTGCTTCTCTTTGCCCGCCAGGCACGCCTGTCAGGAGCGAGTCGGCTATGAAACATGCGGAAACCAACACTTAGGTCACGGTTTTTAGGGCATCAGGGCAGAACAGGAGGCAGCATTCTCTGAACCTAAAGCCCTGACTCTGAACGCTTGAGCTGAGCATCAACCGCACCTCAACCCTACTGAGGAAATTGTCGGGCTTCTTGCTGCAGATGGCGCTGGAATCACCTACAAATCCATGTCGGATCCTGACCGACAAGCTGCACTCAAGAGATAGTAGGGCCGGGTCAAAGTTGCTGGGAACCTAAAGTAGCTAGCTCAGTCTGCCCCGCTCACAGGAAAACAGCGCTCTTTCATCGGCATGCCCAGACGGAGCCTGAGCAAAGGATGCAAATTGGGATGTTCCCCCTTATACTAACCGTCCTTAATAGGGATTCTACTCCCTATTATAGTCCCTATAAGGGACCTTCCGCAGTATCCAAAGTCCATAGAGTCTTGAAGGATGTCGCCGGAGCCATCTAAAAAGAAAAGATCCAAAACTTCCAAAAGTCACAAACAATTCGGGACGAAGTCCCCAATTCAACAAAACTCCAAAAACTCAAAAACACCCAAAATTCCCAAAAATCTCAAAAATCCCAGCAAAGCCTAAGCTTATCCAAAAGTCCAAAACGGACGGGACTACGTACCCACGTGCCTGGCCCGTGCCCTGGCCCGAGCCCTGGACCCATAGGCCTGGAATTCTTTGGAACGTGAACTTAAAAAGCAGAAAAAGTCCAACAATTCCGAAAAACTATGGGTCCTGGGCACGGGCCAGGCACATGGGTACAGGACATAGTCCAGTCCGTTTTGGGAATTTGTGGAATTTTCAGAGTTCTTCGAAGTCTTTGGGCTCTTTTGGATCTTTGGCACATGGTCCCGATGTTTCTTTTGAAGTTTCCAGTTTACTTTCCAAAGGTTTCACGGCCTGTGGGTCCCAGGCCTTTGGCCAGACGTGCGGGCGCAGGACGTATAGTCCCATGCGTTTTGCAATTTTGGATTCTTTGGAATACCGGGTAGAACTTTTTGAAGTTGGACATGGGACATTGAACCCGGAATTTTCGAACTGGTTGCTTGGGTCCGGGTCATGGCCCCGCCTGTTAAATTTCAAAAGGTTTTTTAGACGGAGAGCACTGCTAACGACACATTTTCACAACCATGAATGGACGAGCCGCTGCTATCTTTGCTGCTTTTCATTCACGCTGCAAAACAGGTTTTTGGAGCCTTTCGAATCGTAGAGCTGGCACATGGTCCCTGCATTTGTCTTCTTTTGAAACGTGCAAGGGGGTGACGATGAGGGTGTTCTGGAGCATCAATAGAAGGGCAAACAAAGGCTCGTCCATTCGTGGTTGTGCAAATGCATCTTCAGAAGGGGGTTCTTCTTTTCAAGACTAGCATTAAGGGTTTTGCGGGGGCACTGCGCAGGTGCGAGGAGTGTCCCAGTAGCTGTCTTCCATTTCCTTCAGAACTCAGCAAAGCCGCAACGAAAAATGTGGGCGCGAAGCTAAAGTGCTCTTCGGGGTTGGTTCCGGGGGGGGGGGGGGGGGGAGGTAAGCTACAGGGTTTCATATGTACATAGGGGGTATGTATTTGAAATACAAAGAGGGTAGGGCGTAGATAACTAAGGGCATACGCAGATCACTCTTGAAAGTAATATACATGTAGATGTGTATATATACACACATGTATATGTATATGTACGTGCCTTGAATGCCCCAACACTGACCTTCAAATCCTAAACCTCAACCCTGAAACTCCTGAAAACCTAAAACTGAAACACGGACACCTGTAATGGGTCCCTTTCTGTATGCATACTGTAACAAAAAACATAATCATACGAATAATGAATCATGGTACTTCCAATAGCCATGATAGGACGAATAACAGTACTGTAATAATAACAAAAATGTATCCGGAGTGGGAGACAATAGTCATAGTCACTCAAGGCCAGGCTGCGTATTGTCCAACCAGGCCACGGAAACAATCGGAATTCGATGTTGCTTGGCAAACTCGTACCTAAGTGCTAAATATGATGCAACGGAAGGTTCTTGCTCCAAGAGGGCATGAAACGGCATTGCACAAGAAGTTGCTTCGGCCGCTGCAAGCAAAAAAATGCAAGGATGATCGAACAAGGCCCTACAGTAAGGGGCCCTAAGCCACTCCAGTCCTTGCTTTGTGAGGAAGCACAACTATCTCACGCATTCCTGCACCGAGAACCCGAAAATAGCCTGAAGCCTCGAATCATCGTCCCGATCTCGAAACGCCGTGGCCCTAGCCATACAAGTCAGGAGGCTTTTCGCCCTGGCTCGCGCCAGCGATAAGGTGCGTGTGGGCTATCGTGAGCTCCTTGGGGCGATTTGCGCACGCGGCACTACTCCGTACTCCAAAGGAGCAGGCCCTGAACCCGCACAGTCAAACTGCCCTCAAGCCCTGAGCCCTCATCCCTCCACCCCCCCACTGCCAGGCCCCCGTAACCGTAAACTTCGGAAGCCCGCTTGTCGTTGCCACGGTTCCTCGGTACATTGGGCCCCCAGCAGCTGGGCCGCCATAACGACAGCCTCCTTGGAGCCTCGGCATATCTCTGCCTGTATTATGTTTACTAAGTTTACTAGTAGGGTGGAGGACTTTTGTGGGGTTTCGTGTTTGGGGATCTCGATGGCAAGTTGAGCATGCCAGCCCTAAAACCCTGGAACCCTACAACCCTACAACAAGCAGATCCGTCAAGCTGATGGACTGCTGCGCACTACTTTTGCACCCTTTGGGGCGGGCAGGCCCTGTTATGAAACCCCGCAATGGCCGGTTTCCGGACCCAAGTGGCCTGCTCGCAGGCGGGTGGTGCTCAACAGCAGACCTTACAAGGCATTCCAACATGCGTTCGGAAGGCAAAGGGAAAGGCACTCGCTATAGTCACTGTATGATTTGGGTCGGGTTGGGTACATAAGAGTTGACGTGTGCAATTTCGTGGTGGGGGCTTTGGCTGTTCGGCACGGGCCATAGCAAGCAGTTCCTGCAAAATCCCTCCCCGTACCTTGTGCGCACAACAACTTCACGCCCTCACGTTCACGACCGTCGAAATCCGAAAACCTTGCCAGCAGAAGCTCTAAACCTATACACCTAAAACACTCAAACCTCAACAGCCCCTTGAGCGGGGACGACCTTGCACTCGCTCAAGGACGCAAATCTCTTGCTTAAACAGCCAAGCAGCCCTCCATGAGCCTTGGAGCATAGCATCCGAAGACCTCAGGTGGTGTTGTAGTTGTTACTTGCAGCACGTCCTAGTGTGCAGCAGCTCGAACAACGAAAAAGCATGTCCGTCCTGTCGCTGTACACAGGCTCTCCAGGCAACTGAGATACACAACATGCCCTACATTCGCAAAAACCTGTGTCCACCATAGTGCTGGCTTGGACAAGCAAACTTAGGCAAGAGCCTACACCTGCTGGCTTGCGTTGAGGAGCTCCGCTTGCTTTCAGGATGTGAGACTGTCTTTGGGTGCCTGGGCCTAGGTCCCACCTGCCCAAAAGCTTGTGCTCAGCTCGCGGCCCCCGGAGTTTCGTTGCTGCTACCAACGCAGCCAGCAATGCACGAGCGGAAAGAGCCTTAGCGCCATGCTTGCACATGTGCACAAGCTTCCGTTTGGGTGCCGACTATCGAGCCCTCGCATGGCACGACCCAAAGACTAAGAGGATAATAAACAAGCAAAGCAACCCAACAGAAGCCGGAGGGACATGCAATTGAAGAACAACAGACGCCCTGTACGATGGGCCTGGTATTAATGCGATTGCAGCTTCCAAACCCCATTCAGTGAGTTGGGTCTCACGGTTGCACATCCAGGGTGCTGAAGGGGGCACCGATGGAGGCGCAGCCAATCCTTCCCGGGTCACTCTGACATGCGAAATTTCTGACCCTTTGGAAGGGCATGTAAACTCTGGGTAGTGCGCGGCAGCCGCCAACAACCCCAAAACCCCCACACACCCTTACCCCACTCGAACTCATGGTTTTTGTTTGCTAAAAGTGCAGGGTGGGGTAGGGCCTTCGTGAGATTGAGAGCTCAAGGCCGGGCAAGGCAGCTCTCGAAAAACATGCTCAGCATCCTCGCCGCTCGCCGGCTCTCACGGATACCGGTTTCAGAGCTAGGGACGCCCCTAAATCCCCCCAACATGCAGGAAAGCCTTAACTTCCTGGAAGGCCCCAAAAACTCAGCAGCTGTTCAGAAAACTTCCGATCCGAGTCGGTCCGATGTCTCGGAAGTTGCCGGCCCGCCACGCAGCTGGCCCTCAACCAGGCGCCGCGGAAGAGCCTTTGGGGGATTTGATTCCTACAGGGACGGAGTGCTGGTCTGTGTATACATATATATATATATATGATTATGTATTATATTTGCGGTGTATTGCCCTATCTACATACACTTTTACACACATGTTTTACATTTACGTGTATTTTCTTATGCTTATTGTATTATTTATTACCTAGAACTATGTGCTCGTTTTCTGCCTGAGGGACTTGTGGGAGTGCCGGGATGAAGCGAAGGCGGCGCAGCTGCCCCCACCAGGACCAATCCTTATCATGTGCGGACTCTTGCGGGTGCTTGCTCCTTCAACCGTGGTGTTTCGAAAGGGATTCCATCCCCGAGACCAAACTCAAAATGGACTGTGGGTGCTGAGTATTCGGAGCAATGATCCTTCAAATCATCGACCAGGCTGAATTCCGAGACGCACGCCCGGGAGAACTACTGTGTTGCTCCGCACTCTGAGATCCCCAGGACCCAGGACCAGGAATAACTAGGCTCACGCATGAAGTCGAAACGTCCTTTCTTGGTAGAACCTTTTGCAGGGAGAAAGGAACCCAGATCAAGCGCCCCTTCAAGACTCTTTAAATTAGCCGAAACAGATGATAGACTACTGGCAGGAGCCAAAATGTCTAGGCTTGCTGTCACGGAAAGCAGTACCCCAAATAAAACTCTAGTCAGAACTGACCGAAGTTCTGAGCCTCAGAGGGTCTGTAAAAGCATGATGAGCGTGATGAGGGCTACGGGGTTAGGTGCATCGCGGCGTCAGAACGATGTCCGCTCCTTGCCCACTGTGCTGCACTTTGGCGCCACACCAGCGGGCGAGACCCACCAAGGGGCCCATCTCCGTCTTTCCTTTCCAGGGCGAGAGTGCTGTCATGGGACTACTCAATATCAGCAGGGTTGGAGGAGGGGTAAGAATTTGGCGGGGGGAAGGATTTAGTTACTGCGTACTATGTACTGCGACGATGAGGGTAGGATGTCGGCTAAATGCTTGGTTGAGGTTTTAAGAGTGTCCCCGAACAAGCGACCAAACCCAAAAGACACAACATCATGGGTCCAAGGTCGAGTCTCTGTGTGCCTGCAAGGTGTAGCAGAAAAGCCAACTCTTTCTTCGGAGCGCATCACTCAATGCAAAACAGACTCGCCGATGCACTGAGCTGCTACGCCAAGCAAAGCAGACCCTCACGAAGAACCCCGACTCTGCCCCTTCACGGCCATACTCCCCGAAAAGGTTTCCATGAAGCTATCTCCAAGACATCACGCAACTTCCCGGCGCCCGTAGCCAAGTCTCTCAGGAAGCACTCGCCGATCCATGTCCCAAAGCATCAAAACGACAGCCCAAGCAACAACTTCATCTCGATTCAGAGACGATCTTGTGTTTAGACCTTTAAATTGAGTTTAGGGGCACCGGAATCCGTAAAAGAACCCTAAGACTTCCTAAACACCAAGTGACACTTTGGTCTTAGACGAGCTTCCCATTATCAGGGCCACTCGCAAGCCCTTGAAGAGCATGCGGCGGTTGACGTAGCCCCGTCGGCCGTCTAGACGTACTTCTTTCTTCATCTCATCCCCTGCCAGACATATAGGGTCTGTATAGCTTTGGGATAATGGGGGGGTGACACGGCATGCCCATGACCCACCGCAAAATGAAGGAACAGGTGCAATGGGACTGAAGACGATGTAGGGAAGCCATACCCGAAAAGAACACCCGCAGCTGCAAGCTCGCAGCATGCCAACCAGGTCTACATCAACCTGAAGTGTGCCTCGTCAGCCCCTGATCCCAATGCAGCAGAACCTAGATGCCCAACCTGGCAGCACTCCGGAACTCCCAAATTCGCCAGCAACCATTCATGAACAACCATCCAAAGCTCCGTTTTCAGAGACTCTGGAGTCCTAAACCACATCTTCGCCGGGACGCGCTCCAGGTCGGAGAAGGGCAGCGATGCGAATTCAGCTTCCGCCCTTCGGACCCAGAGCTCCTGTTTTGGGCGAGGTAGCCCAGTAACCATATTATCATAAGGCTGGTTACTTGAAAAAGAGAACCTTGAACCAACAAAAGGGAAAAGGGTACCGAGGGTACACTGGGTTACCAAGGGAACCCAGCTCTATCACCCAAACATTCACCCAGGCCACCCGAAGGCCTAGCTTCATGGGACAGCGGTACGTTAACGGTGGACCGGCCGGGGTTCAAAGAACTCCCAGCACAAGTGGACCACATAATCATGCGGGTTCCCTCTTGAGCCGAACTTCAATCCGGATCTCGCTGATTTGGGGAGCTTCGAACAACAGCTCGGCCAATTTCATCGTTTCTGTTTAGGGACTTCGGACGCTTGGGATGGAGTGCTATCGAAACATCAAGCGCCGCCCTTAAAGAGAAGAGACCGAAAGCCCCAAGCCTGTGCCACCCCGGCTTCAGTCTAGCCTCAGGACAACTCCGAAAGTCACTACAAATCCAATTTACAGCCGCCCGATGTAATCTCGCGCCAAGGCTCTGTGCTTTCCAAGATTTCCACGAGGCATCCTAATGTGGCTCCAGAGAAAACTCACGAAACACCGGTTGCAAGGGTGTCACTGAGCGCTTTTTTGATGGCAACAATTGGTGACGTCTCAAAGCCTTCAGCATCCCTTTGGGTATTGTAAGGTCGCACGCTGATGCCCAGGGAAGCTGAAACCTACTGTCATGCAGTTTCATGCAAGGCACTTGTCGTCGTGGCACTCCGGACTAGCTCCTGGTCTAGTGCTTTTCGTGCAGCGAGAGGCAAGCATTCTGACAGGCTTAGGCCAGGAAGGGCACTCGTCGACCGCTCGAGAACCATCATTAATACTTATCCGATATTCGAACCATTTGCTCGACAAATCGCCCGCCCCGATAGCGTCCTGGTCTGGAAGGAGGTCGGCGATCTGCTGCCATGCCTGATTGCTAGTCGCATTGTTCTGCGTGTGGCTCACGGACTTCGACAGGCGCAGACAGACAAGCCCCTGCTCCCAAAACAAAATCAACCCCAATAATATTTCACCCCCACCCTACCCCCTGCCAACCTGCCCCCCACCCCACCCCTCCACCCCCCAACATCCACCCATCAGACCCCCTCCCCCCGCAACCCCTCCAAATCGAGATAGGGGAGGTCAAGCTTAATTAGCGGTGAGGGTACCGCTTTCAAAACCCGTTCACAACCAACGCTTTGGCCCAGATGGGCTGCGCAGATTACGCCGCTTTTAGGGGCGGGGGAGCTGGTTGGCTTCAGAACATCTTGTCGGCTTTTCACACAACATGCTGAGTGAGGACGCTTCCATCTGAGAGAGCTCACTGAACGCGTTGACCCCTCGCTGCAAAATTCTGCCTCGGCCGGCAGCAGCGACCAACTGATCGATGGGCGTCCCCGATCCTCTCGCTGGCAGACGAACACGCACATCTACAAATCCAACAAAACAAACCTGGTGTGCGGTGTACACTTTGCCAACACTCCCGAAAAAGTGTAGCCCTAGACCAATCAGTGCCACAAATTCCTTCTGCCCGAGCTCTCAGGGATATTGTGGAGTGTGGCTTGAACGATAATCTGTAAGAGTATATGGGATAGCAGGGATAGCAAGGACTTAGAATGACCCGGTCGTTCCTGGGCTTGGGTTGTCTCCGGGCCGTCTGTGAACTCGCCTTGGCTGGCAAGCCAGTGGCATGCACCACTACGTGCACGCACACACGCGAACACGCTCGGACACACGCAAAAGCTGTGCCGGAAAGGAGCGCCGGCGCCGCCGCCGGGGGGGTGGGGCATCGGCCGGGGGACCCAAATCGGTCCTTGGATTCCGGAGCTAACAGCTCGCAGCCTTGCCAGCGTTGCATGGCTTCTTTGTTGCCGCCGGTTTCGGGCTTTAAGGGTTCAGAGTCTCTGCGGCCCAGGTGGCGGACTCAGAAGCGGCGTGTTGCCACCTCCCTGGGCCTCTTCGGATTCCCGTGGGGGCACGAGGTCGTCCATGGCAGTGGCATGCACTCTGAAACTGGCCCAGAAGCTGCCATAGTTGCTTTGCTGACTTCTGCCATTCTCCTGCCTTGAGGTTTATTGAGGTTTGATGTTTGAGCTCCTGGGAGCTGTTAGACCTCTAGCGCTTCGAGCCAACATGGAGTCGAGGAAGAGAGTCTGCGTGCAACATGGGCATGCCGTCATGCGACGTCTCAGATGCAAAGTAATGCAAACGAGCAGCAGCCACACGTTACCTCAGCGCTCGGATGCGTGGAGAAGTAGCGCTAGCGAGTTAAACGGGTCCTTTCCCCCTCCCACCCCCCCCCCCCGGAAAAAAACCCGCGTTGACAGGCGAAGGGCCGCTCCAGTCTTCCCAAAGACCAGGCGAAGTTGTTGTTGCTGCAGCCGAAGCCTTTCCACAGGGGAAGGCGACCTTCCTTAAGGAGAGACTCCATAGGACTGAGATCTTCATGTTGACAGAAGCTGAACTCCTATCAGCACGCAGGCTGCAACAGGAGATCGCTGGACTGCAACCCTCTTTTGGACATGCCCCCTGCCTCAGGCGGCCAGAAGCTGAGAAGACTCTCCGACTTCTGTCGCACATGGGCGGCCAGCGTTGCTGGAAGCCTGCTTCGAGGGTCTATGGTGGGTTTCGGATTTAGGGTCTCGTAGGGGTTGAGAGTCGAGATGTCCAAGCCAGCCAGGGCGGGCGTGTTGCTCGGTTGAACCAGTGTTGGCCATGAGGGGCCCCTGGGGCAGACTCAGAGTACACTCCAGGGTCCTTCTTCTGCCAACGGTTATAGCGTCCCACAACCTTTCGCCCGTACACACCCGCCGTAGACAGCCGCGACGCGATTAATTGGGAAAAATGGAATTGCTGTTCCCATCTTCAGCGCCCCCTAACTATATCAGCCCGAAAAAGTTAAAGGTCAAGACTAATTACACTGCGCCCGCCTCCGGCGAAAGAGATGCGAAACCAGCTCGCCTGTGCGTGGTGCCGCGCCTCCGCAAACATTTCTGTCTGGATGCGGGGGGACAGCCCTGAACCTGCAACCTCAAACCTCGAAGCTTTTTTTAATGTTCGGCTACACGTGTGCAACAGGCCCAACAGCCTTATGTACTCCATCTGCCCATGCCCAAGACTCCCAAATCCCTTTTTAAAATTTAAGCCCAAGACGAGGCCTGCGAGAGCTGAATGGCTTGAAGGCTTCTGAAAGCAGCAGATGAAGAAGCCTTCGACCTCCAGTCTGAGAGGCCAGATGTCATCTCTTCTTATCTCTCCTTCCTGTGTCTGTTATCCTGCATCAATTCTTGGGAATGGGAAGCTACGAAAGCTAGGGGCACGCGGCAACATAAGCCGAAACTGGCGCCTTTGTCCAGTCTTTCGTTGCTCATTGCTGCCGGGCTGCATCGAAACTGTGTGGGAGCAGTCGTACGGCTCCTGAACTTCAAACTTCAGCATAGCAATTTTATTGAACATGCCTTAATCATCCAGAGTTTCAAGATGTTTCAGGCCTGAGGCTCCCGAAGATGAAATCTTTTCGGACGGCAGGCTGGAGGTTGCACGCCCAGAAACTCCCTTAAACCCAAAGCTCGCAGGTAGGAAGCCTTCTCAAAATCATACGATCCCAGAGCGGGCCACGCCTAGGCCTGCTGCTGCAGGGTCCAGGACGCGAAAGTGCGTGGCCACCCCAGGAGCTAGCTCCAGAAGGGTCTCAATGTCCACCGGCTGCGCGGCCTCAAGTTTGCTTCCCGCTGGGCACCGACACCACCCCCCCTGCTGGAACATGGTTTCCGAAATTAGGGGTACCTTGGGTTGTAGACTTATCGAGCAGCAGCGACCAGCATGCCAGCAGGAACCAACAAAAGAATGTGCAAGATAATACGAACCATAAGAAATAACCATTCAACAGTGGCACGGTATGTAGTCAAAAAGGAGTTCGGACTTCGACGATCAACAGGGAAATCTATGGGTTGAGATTCTGTTCAGAAAGCAAAGAAGAGTTTGAGTTGAGGACTAGTGTATCCCCGACATGATTCAAGTCCTCAGTCGCGCAAACCACAGAGAACAGGCGAACAGGCCCACTCCCGAACCAGTTAAGCAGAATCAGAATCTGCAGCCACAGTGCGTAGCTGACGTCAGCCAGAAACTGCAAGCACAGTTTCTCATTTTCAGCAGGTGCGAATGTGCACGTCGAGTACACCTGGATCGGAGCGGCTCTTGGATGGGAAGCATGATATATGGCTAAGGCAAACATGTGGAGAACAAATCTTTGCGTGGTGTACAAAAATCCAATTTCTAGTCTGCGTACCGCGCTCTGCCAAATCATGTTCTTACGACCTCCACAAAAAAAGGTTAGCCATGTCGTGAATGGCGTGTATGGAGGTCAACCTGTTCTTGGCGTGAGGATCTCTCAGACAAGGAGCCAAGCAGCCGCCCGGCTTCAATGCCCGCCAGCCGCTGTGGAGCAGAGCTCTTTGAATCTCTGTGAGTGCCATGCTCCTGAGCTGCAGCTTCAGAACCCGGAAAAATGAAGCCCGATTGGGGCGAGTCGGCTGAAGACAGCTGGCGAGCCAATAGGCAGACCTCAAGGCGCCTGATTCCCTCAGATTGCGCTGGGCCGCGGAGCCTTGGGGAGCTTCAGATGTGAGAACACCTCCCTGTACAAGCAAATATACTGTATCACATATTATCTATACCATACCGGTGATGCCTCGGGTAGACTATGCTGGCGCAGGGAGGCCTGCAGCACCCTGAAGGATTCCAAACGACAGCTTCCTCTTCAACAAGACTCTCCACCTTCGATTAGAGTTTCGGGTTTTCGACTCTCGCACTCGCACATGGCCGGCAAGGCATCGGTTGGTATGTCCGTCTCAAGGTGATACTGCCCACAGAGCTTCTGCAGACTACACTCACTGCTATTCAACATAGTCGGTTTAGGGTTTAGGGTTTTTTTAGGGTACTACAATCAACTTCGAAACTGTCAGCTCAACTGTGTCCAGTCTCTCACCACTGTCACATCGAAGCAGGCGGAGGATCTCTTTGCGGACCGTTCCTGCGGCGAAGCTTCCCAGTACAGGGGCTTCGACCCTCGTGGAGTTGCCGCTGCAGCGTCTCGCAGCATGTAGGGTTTAGGGTTGGTTTGGGATGGTTTAGGGTTTGCCTACCATGCAGCCACCAGACGTGCTGGCTGGCTGCCCGAGTTTGGTGGTCTTCTGCATATTTTGGTTAGGTACCCCGGGCGTCTAGCCCTGCCCGGCAACTTGTAAGTTTTGCGGTTTTGGTAGAACCGCTCCTTAGATATAAGTTACTTGTGGTTGCTTGTTTGTTGGATATAGTAGGGTTGGACTTAGGTTGGACTTAAGTTGTTCCTTTGATTCCTGCTTCTTTCACAGTTGATTTTCTAGTCGCTCATTAAAGGTCACGATGTTCGAGCCCACAGTCCGTTTTCACCTTTTGTTGCTCGTGCCACCTGCTGTTACAATGGCTGCTGCTCCAAGCCTCTCTGCGAGCCTTGCAGGATTTCATCAACATATTCTGCAAGACGTGCCGCAGCATCGCACGGGTACCCTGGCCGACCCGCCAGCAGCGATGCTCGTGGTCCATCATGACAAGCGGACAATCGGGATTAAAGCGTTCGTTTCGGTCAACTAGGTCACTTATGAGTAACATATATGTGCATGAGTCAAAAGGCCGTCCTGGTACCTACACTACCCAGCATATCGCATCGATTCTCAGAGCAACGCTTTTCTCGGAGAAGATGTTGGCAAAGCTAGTAAAAGCTATAGTTGGGCACTGCTGCAATTCACGCCCGAGGTAACCATTCACAAAGCCTTCAGACACGTTGCTTTCTGTGGGATAACATGGCAACCAATGATCTATGACTCGGTGCCTTCACAAGAGCAGGGCGCATCAACCAGCACCTTACAGCAGGATGCAAGTGGGATTGACGGCAACGACCAGCATCTTTATACATGCTCTGATTACAAGGAGCACCCATGAATCTTTCTGTGCTATGGGGTCTGCCTGCTAAGAAGCATATGATTCTATTCTTCTTTGCCAATCTTAAAAAAGAAAGGCCGAGCTGCCCCTTCGAAGGCTTCGGGAAAGACTTGCCCCACTTCCCGGCCATCTGCGCAGCTGACCAAAAACTGGCTCGAGCCGCTTTTCCTCAGTGAGATTTGTGCATGCTCTGAGGTGGTCCAGTGTTTCCTGCGGCTGCATCAGGAGGTCATACCTTTATGAAGGAGGCCGGCTTTTCAAATCGCCTCTGCCCTGCCAGCAAGAAAGGCCTCCTCCGCTAGACTGCAGCCAGGCGTCAGGAGGTTCCTATGAAGAATCTCCTGGGGGCCGCACCAGCAGGTAACTACTCTGCAAATCTGGACGATCTCAGGCGTGATCACTGGGAACAAAAATAATCGTAAAAACCGGAAGACCACAAATCCACAAGCCGCTCGCCACAATATGGCATCATTGAGCTGCATCAAAGTGGAAGAAAGCCCAAGCGTTTGAGACTGCAGGGCGCTCGATCTGACTCCATCTGGCAGCATGTCTTGGGCCGGCTAAGGATGATGTGGATTGTTCCCCCACAATGGCGTCCCTCTCCCCTCCCCCACATATAAACCTTAACCCGGCGGGTCTTTTTTTGTTTTTTCAAGGTGTGGCTCGGACGCTTTTGTCTTAAAAGGTGTGGCTCAGCTTGGCTTCGCAAATATTGTAAATAGCAGCATCTCTGCGTTTAGAGAGGCTGCAAATACTGTAAATAGCAGCATTTCTGCGTTGTCAGAGGCTGCAAATTATGCACCAATACTATAAATAGCAGCATTTCTGCGTTGTCAGAGGCTTCAAATACTGTAAATAGCAGCATTTCTGCGTTGTCAGAAGCTTCCAAGACTGTAAATAGCAGCATTTCTGTGGTTGTCAGCGGCTTCCAATACTGTCAATAGCAGCATTTCTACGTAGTCAGAGGCTTCAAATACTGTAAATAGCAGAATTTCTGCGTTGCGTTTGGGTTTCAAAGAGACTCACTATGCTGGGGTAAATTCAGTGCTTGCATGTAAGTTTCAAGATTCATATGCTTTGAAGCAAGCTTGCACGGCTTAAAAAGCGGGGGGGTTGGGGGGGGCGCAGCCCCCCCCCATTTGCAAACAATGCAATGCTTGCATGTAGGTTTCAAGATTCATATGCTTTGAAGCAAGCTTGCACAGCTTAAAAAAGCGGGGGGGTTGGGGGGGGCGCAGCCCCCCCCCCATTGGTAAACTCAATGCTTGCATGATGGGTTTCAAGATTCATATGCTTTGAAGCAAGCTTGCACGGCTTAAAAAACGCGGGGGGATTGGGGGGGGCGCAGCCCCCCCCATTTGCAAACAAGGCTCGTCGTCACTCACAACGGCTCCATTCTTTGCACATGTGAGACGCAAAGCCCACAGAGATGCAGCTGCGCTTTCTTCCCACATACAACGCAAAACGCAACCCCCTCGGCCTCGGGTACTGTAAGCGGAGGCAAAGGCCTCCTTGAAGGGAATGGCTTCCGCGAGTGAGAGCACTCGGTTCAAGCCCAAATGCTCGGTAAGTCCATCCCAAAACGCGACAGTCTTCTTATGGGCCGATGCCGGTGCAACCAAAACACTCGGTCGAAATTTGCGCTGCGGCGCAAAAGCTTCCGGCACTGCCTGTCCCAACACGTTGCAGTCGAGGTACTGCGCCTGGGAGAAAGGCTCAATGGACACGAACCCCTCTATCGCACCCCAGGTGTTGCGAGCTTCAATCAGCTCGGACTCCGTCGACACTCGTTGCCTTAGAGCCGCCTCAACTACAAACGGCAAAGAACACATCAGGACGATGAGCGCGCCTTGGTGTGCTCCGACCAACAACCTCGGCTTTCTCCGGCACACCTCACGTGTTTCCCCCCTCCCTTATATACTGTCAAAGGCGTGTCGGCGTATCGGCGTATCGGTGTATCTGTGCATATGTCGGTGTATCGGTGTATCGGTTTATCGGTGTATCGGCGTATCGGTGTATCGGTGTACCAGTGTATCGGAGTATCGGTGTACCGGTGTACCAGTGGGTCGGTGTATCGGTGTATCGGTGTACCGGTGTATTGGAACGGTGGGTCGGTGTATCGGTGTATCGGTGTATAGGAGCTGCATCGGTCTATCGGTGTATCGGTGTATCGGAGCGGTGGGTCGGTGTATCAGTGTGGCGGCGTATCGGTGTATCGGTGCATCGGAGCCGTGTATCGGGGGGCCCAACAAAAACAACAGACATCACCAAAACCTAGAAGGATTCATATATGGATCTATGATCCATCAGGAACGATTCCAGATGAGCATTTCCGTGGCAACGTGGGTGCCTCAGGCGCTCGAGCAACTGCGTCGCGCGGCGCATATGCCTGAACCAGAGTTCTCTCCCTGCACATTTGACGGCCACATCGACGCTTATCGACACTTGTCAACAGCCAAGCTCCCTGCCATAGGCTGAAGCGGCTCGAGTGCCCTCCGCAACACAAAATGAGTTTGCGGCTGCATGGCAGGCACAGGATCTAAGCAAGCCTGATTGCAACTCGATGCAACTTGGCAATCAATTATCACTTCACAAGGAACAACTCCGAATAGCAACTCCCAAGCGGACAAAGTTTTTGTCAGGCACCGGCCTGTCTTCCACAGGGACGGTCAATGCCTCCCGCACATGGACAGTCTGGGTCCAATGGAGTCAACAGTCGATGGATCGATCCACTAGCAGCAACAAAACGCGCGCCGCCGCAGGCAGGGCTGCAGAGGACCTTCAGCATAGTGTCTCTCATACTTCAAGCAAACAAGACTTGCGCGACATGGAGATTACGATGACTTGAAAGCCTTCGTAAGGCCTTCGCCGCTCTTCCTCGCATTGCATACAGCATTGACAGCTGCTATTGGCCTGGATGGCTTGGGGTATTGGAAATCACGTTCCACAGCTTCTATCAAGACATCCTCATCAGCACACATTTGTAAATGTTTAATGCTTGACGGTGAGGGCTGGGAATGACAAAGACCAGGAGTACTCATGTGTGAAAGTGACTAAGTGCGCCGGGTACCGGTAATAGTGACCTTGCCGGGGGAACATCAGGGGACTGCATGTCATCTAGAGCTCCGAGGCTCGCCGAGCTCCCCACAAGTGTTTGGGCAGCTCCTGGCAGCGCTTCAGAGCTGTTAGTGACTGTTATAGTGTTTCAGCATTGTCTCTGCAGGGCCCCGACTTCGGGCGCATTGGCAACATGCGCTCAGCAGATTGCAAACTCCTGACAACCAAGTCTCTTCAGAGTCAGGTTACACAAAAACAGAACTAGGTAAGAAGCACCTCGAACGGCTGCCATTAACATGGCAGGCCAGACAGAACTAAAGGCCGTTTAGGCCTCAAGGGAGACAGCCACAACTGGCCACAACTCCTTGATGCTGGTGCACTGCCCGGCTCTCAGAGCAAAAGAGGACGCAACGCATGGCAGCACATGCAGCACGATGCACGTCGAAACTCACCTAGTGGCTGTGATCATCTCAGAAAATCGTTCGGCACGTGGGAGGGCATTTGGCGGCACTTAGTTGTAATAGCCCTTTTCCTTCTCGCCTGGCTTCTCCATGAACTGCTTTGGTAAAACTGCTGGCCTCCGAGGTCTCGAATCGGAAAGATGAAAGTCTTCTTCAGATCTCCAGCATCTCCCGTGCCATTTTTCGCCGGCCAACTTTCTCGCAAGAACTGATGCCAGCACTGAAACTTACAAGGTTAAGTGAAGCCAAGGAGACAATCGGCATTGCAGGGAATACCGCGATGTCCTCTATGCCATAGATCACCCTTCTCGCTGAAGCTGCTCTCGTGTGGCTGAATCTGCTCCCAGGGCCCACATTTGTCGCAGGTCCTGATGGCCCCACAACCCACTGCATTCTTCACCTGCGCTTTGCAGCCCTAGGCGGTTCTTTGCTGCCTTCGGGCTTTCAGGACTTGCAAGCAGCTCAGGCGGTGTTGCAACCGTCGCGTTCGTTCCTGTAGCTTCCGCCGCTCTGGGTTGACTTCCACCTCATGCCAGAAGTCATTTGAGGAAAAATCGACGCTTTCGAAATTCGATCGTATACTTTTTTTTGCTGTTGGCATCTATACTTGTTTGCTCTCGGCTACTATTCACGTTGAGGTCTGGGGCCCGAATGTTGAAAACTGAGAAGAGGACCACGAAAGCTAGAGGGCAGCAGGAGCGGGTGCAGCTGCGCGCTCTTTTCGGACGGGCGAACCCTCCTTTGCCCCCCACTGAGATAGTTGCAGTCCTGTTGCTTTGCTGTCAGTCCATGTACAGTTCATGTGACACAAATGCATGTTGTTGTTGCGGCTCTCAAGGTTCTGGGGAGTAAGTCCTCAAGTAGCGCGTAATGGAAAAAGCTCGCCTGTCTACTGTATGCGGAAGTGAGGTAGCGCTCGGGCCAATCTCCCCCCACCCCTCCCCCCCGCTCCCCCACCCTCACCCCCTCCCCCCCCCATTGATCCCACACTTCGAGAATTGAGCTGGCGCCACATAGCAACCCAGCTGGACGACAACTAGCGCAAACTCCAAGAGAGCTAGCTTTTGTGACTTGTTGAAGATGGTGACTTCGAAAAGTTTACTCCCGTACCCACAGCTCGAAAGGACCAAGCACCCAGCCGTACACGGATACTTTTTTCCATACACTGTGATATCTATCCCTGATGCCCCCTGACAGAAAAAACATTCCGACGCGCTTGCAGGTAGTGCTTCTGGGCTTAAAATTGCACGGCGGGACGAGCACTGACATCGTGGCACATTCTGACTGCGCTTAAGTTGGGGTTTACGGCAGAAGGCCTTAGAAAGCGTTGCCATTAAAACTCGGGACATGTGGATTTTGCAAGAAGAAGAACCCAGAAGGCAGGACAACTTTTTCGGATTGCATCCAGGCAACTTTCTCCCACGACTTTCGGCATGTCGAAGTAGTATGGGCCACCCACCAAATTGTAGGCTTTTACACGGCTTGTGGGATCAGGCTGCTGCGCTTCATGGCCAAGCCTGCAGGACACCACACTGAAAAAACGAATCAACCACACAACCAACGCCCCCTGGCCTTCCGGAGATCAGGCACCCAAAAGCTGGGCACCGGGCATCAGTGTTTCCCAAACGCTGCTAAGGCGCACACCCATCACTGCGCAAACGCACTAAGTCTCAATATCGTATCCCAGCGGCCTGCTGAGAAGCCGTCACGGAAGCTGCCTGTAAGACCAACGAATTGTTGACCTGGCTGTGCGGCCATGCGCTCTCCCTCTTTCTTTTCTTCTGGGGCATGGGGGCCGAGACCCCCGCGCAGTGCGCGCACCCCGCAGCCGCATGTTGCGGCGGCTTGAAATTATGAAAGGGAGTATCTCTGTGACCCCAACGTCAAGGTGTACTGGTCACGACTTATTAACAGGTCAGACATCAACCAACACACACACACACAGGTATGTGTGTCACTCTCGTGGAAAGGAATGTAGATGTAGATGCGTAATGTCATACTTGATACGAGATGGTCTTGACATTCGAAATGCATACTGGTGCTAGACATTCTTTGTGGACTCATTGACCTTGGGGTACCTTCGGGAAGTACAACAGCGAGTATGGCAGCAATGTACAGCGAGTGCGAAGATCAACGTATCACTTCTTGTCACAGGTACACAGGGTTGATCAGACCCTGCTTCCAGCATCAGTGGATAGCTTCGTTGGGTGCAGTTTCCACTGTGCTCTGCACCCCCCTGTGATGCACTGAAGCTCTTCATGTATCATGTCAGAAATCAAGAAGCTTCAAGAAACTTCAATGCTCTCTCATCCTTCATGACTCAAGGAAACATGCAACTCTTGAATGACGAGACCATTCTGTTGTGGCCGCAGCAGTGCGGTTGTCACACACACACACACACCCTCCCCTAAACGGAGAGGGTAATAGGATCGCGAGCTGAAGGACCTCAGTGCAATGAACTTGATAGATTTGCTGGCAAAGGCAATGTGTTGCGGCTGAAACAAATACTGCAGAAAGCAAGCACACTCCATCATGTTTTCAGTCAATGCAAGAAAGTCAATCGATGTCAATACAGCCACCTGGATTCGCTTGTAGATGCCAGAGGCTATGATTTTTCGCCACACTTTCAGTGATGCGCACATTTGAGTCGTGCGTCCCTGTGGTGCTTGACCCGGGACGGGAAATGTCCAAAGAGACTTCTTGGTGGAGAAAAGATTCAAATTCACCATTCGCTCTGCGCACTTGTTCAGTCCATGGGGGTGCGGCATCTGTGGTTTCATGCTGAGGCCACACTGTTGATGTGACTGCAGACCAAGAAAGATGATGAGGAGGATTTGGTTCCTCAACATACAAGTGTAAGAAGGCCTGGAGGAGTTCAGCCCTTAAGTCCTGCAACGCCAGGCTGACAAGAGCTTCCGGTGTGTCACATCGTCGAGCTCTATGTTGGGCACGATCGATGAGCCTGGCTAGCCTGGCTTGCCACTGATTCTCCGTGAATCCAAGTCTTTTGGGGTCGATCATGCCGAAGTCCTCGAGAACCTGTTCCTGCAAAAATTCCGTCAATCCGTCACACATGTTATCGAACGCCGCAGCGTGTAAGGCCATGGCATGGACTTTACAAGTTCTTGGACCAAAATCTTGAGAAGACGAGAGCGAGACGTTAACAACACGGGCAGTGAGTACCTAGTCACCTGGCAAAGTCATGAAAAAAACCTTCTTTGTCGAGGTAATGCAACGAATGCCTGGTTTAATTTGAAACCTGTCATGGTGAAACCATGCGCAGGAATTGCTTCAGGCAGTCTCATTCACGTAGAGGACGCGAGCAGTCGTTCTAGGATAGTGACCCTGTTGTTCAACGCCCGAATGTCTGCCTCCGTGCGCTCAATGTAGTCTGCTAGAGTGTGGCGGAAATTCTGCGAGAGCGTGATGTCCTCTCCTGACAATGATGAAGAAGAAGAAGGAGGAGTACTTGCCGATGAACTGCCTTGAAGAACCTCAAGCAGGGCTTCTATTACCTGCTGTCGACGAACTTCGCGTTGTTCGGGAGTAAAACCTTCCATGTTGTCGGCACACGTTGACCTAAGAGGTAACCTACTTTGACCTGAAGAGCACGAAATGCATGTACGAGAGGAGAAGAATGCACATGCTGAAGAAGGAAATGTCCATGACTAAACTGTCAAGCAAGCACTCGCAACTTTGAACACCGGTGATTGTCTTAAGATGAGATCAAGGCACTCTGTGGAGCCTGCAAAGGTGACACAAAATATTTGACAAATCCATGGAGGAATAACCCTGTTGTTCGTACAGGGCTTGAAGAGAACGCAATTGCGACCTGATATGCAGCCGCGGGCGAACAAATCGGCAAATCAAGTATGCTCGAGACCTGAAACTACTGAGGAGATTGTTTTTCCCACAAACGGAATGAACTCCTCGTATCTGGCCTGGTCTGTTGGGAAGCTCCATCAACATAGTGCGTTGATCTGTGTCACAGTGGAAGCCCAGCACCTTTGTGTCAGAGACTCAATGCTTGCATGATGGGTTTCGAGAAGATTCATATCCTTTGAAACAAGCTTGCCCGGCTTTAAAGGGGCCTAAAGGGGGGTTGAGGGGGGGGGGGGGGGGGCCCCCCCATTTGCAAACTCAATGCTTGCATGATGGGTTTCAAGATTCATATGCTTTGAAGCAAGCTTGCACGGCTTAAAAAAGCGGGGGGGTTGGGGGGGGCGCAGCCCCCCCCATTTGCAAACTCAATGCTTGCATGTAGGTTTCAAGATTTCATATGCTTTGAAGCAAGCTTGCACAGCTTAAAAAAGCGGGGGGGTTGGGGGGGGGGGGCGCAGCCCCCCCCCATTTGCAAACTTAATGCTTGCATGTAGGTTTCAAGATTCATATGCTTTGAAGCAAGCTTGCACGGCTTAAAAAAAGCGGGGGTGCGGGGGGGCGCAGCCCCCCCCATTTGCAAACTCAATGCTTGCATGATGGGTTTCAAGATTCATATGCTTTGAAGCAAGCTTGCACGGCTTTAAAAAGCGGGGCGGTTGGGGGGGGCGCAGCCCCCCCATTTGCAAACTCAATGCTTGCATGTAGGTTTCAAGATTCATATGCTTTGAAGCAAGCTTGCACGGCTTAAAAAAGCGGGGGGGTTGGGGGGGGCGCAGCCCCCCCATTTGCAAACTCAATGCTTGCATGTAGGTTTCAAGATTCATATGCTTTGAAGCAAGCTTGCACGGCTTAAAAAAGCGGGGGGGTTGGGGGGGCGCGCAGCCCCCCCCCCATTTGCAAACTCAATGCTTGCATGATGGGTTTCAAGATTCATATGCTTTGAAGCAAGCTTGCACGGCTTAAAACAGCGGGGGGTTGGGGGGGGGGCACCGCCCCCCCCACCCCCAAACTCAATGCTTGCATGATGGGTTTCAAGATTCATATGCTTTGAAGCAAGCTTGCACGACTTAAAAAAGCGGGGGGGTTGGGGGGGGGGGCGCAGCCCCCCCCCATTTGCAAACCCAATGCTTGCATGTAGGTTTCAAGATTCATATGCTTTGAAGCAAGCTTGCACGGCTAAAAAAAGCGGGGGAGTTGGGGGGGGCGCAGCCCCCCCCCCATTTGCAAACTCAATGCTTGCATGTAGGTTTCAAGATTCATATGCTTTGAGCAAGCTTGCACAGCTTAAAAAAGCGGGGGGGGTTGGGGCCCCCCCCCATTTGCAAACTCAATGCTTGCATGTAGGTTTCAAGATTCATATGCAGAAGCAAGCTTCCACGGCTTAAAAAAAGCGGGGGGGTTGGGGGGGGCGCAGCCCCCCCATTTGCAAACTCAATGCTTGCATGAAAGGTTCATATGCTTTGGAACAAGCTTGCACGGCTTTAAAACCGGGGGGGTTGGAGGGGGCGCAGCCCTTATACTATATGCTATGTACTGTATGTTATAATACCTATATATATATATATATCACATTGCAAACTATACATTATATGATGTATTATATCAAAAATTAAGATCAGGGATCGCGAGACCACAGGACGAGAGGACCGCAGAACCAGAGGACCACGGGACCACGAGACGACGGGACCAAGGGGACCACGGGACCAGGGGACCAGAGGACTGCGGGACCAAGGGAACAACGGGACCAGGGGAGCAGAGGACCACGGGACCAGACGACGGGACCAAGGGGACCACGGGACCAGAGGACCAAGGGGACCACCAGGGGGGGGGGGGGGGGGACGAGCCACACCTTTTAAAAAAGGAGGCCCGAGCCACACCTTTTATTAAAAAAAAACCCTGGCCCCCTTAACCCCTAAACCCTAAACCCTAAATCCTAATCTGCTATAGCTGCTATAAAGCAAACTCAAAGTAGGGAGACGTCCAAATCGACCGGGGGTCGGCACGTCGAAGGTCCGGCTCATTGGCGACAAGAGCACCTCCACCCTGCGAGTTTGGGGTTTGTAGGGCTTATAGGGCTTAGGGCTTATAGGGTTTAGGAGCTAGGGTTGAGGGTTTCGGGTTTAGTGGAAACATAAACCTCCCCAACAAACCCCAAATCAGGCAACAGAAGCAGCCCATACTGCCTGAGGCCCAAACTCTGAAGCTCTGCAACAACACACGCCGCGTCTGGCTTCGAAGGTGCAGGACTGGGCCTTTCAACCCGCCTTCCTGGACAAAACTCAATACACGACCTGGAGGCACAATATGTGCCAGAGCCTTGCACCAAACCGAGGGGGTTGCGTGAAGGCGCATCCTACAGCACTACTTCACCCCAGCATTGGTCAACCGACCCCCCGCCCCTCTTCGGTAGCGTCGCAGGCTTGTTAGCATCTGGCCTATCACTGTAAACCCTAAACCCTAAACCCTAAACCCCAAACCCTAAACCCTAAACCCTAAACCCTGTAAACGTTGCGCAACATCGCGCCTGGAGAGCTGCTGCCAGCTGCGTAGATTTGCCTCAGCTTGGGGTCTATATTGTAGGGCTTAGGGTCCCAAAGCCCAAAACTACTTCAACAGAAAAGCCATGCCCCAAAACTCTCCATCCTGCGCAAACACCTTTACTTCTCGAAAGGATGAACTTCTTAACAGCTGAAGCTGGGAAGGGCGGCGTCCTGGCACTGTTGGACAAACTCTGAAATGCTGAGGTTTAGCCGGGTTCCGGCGATGAGGAATCGATGGGAAAATCGGGTGTTATTAGGCTTATGCTGGGAAACTTCCGTATGATCCCGCATGTAAGCAAATTCCTTGCGAACGGCCACCGCGCATTCTGCGCCGGCGTCATAAGCAGGGCATGGCAACAGCTTTAGGCCACTTTCCCGGCAGAGGCGTGCGGCCTCTAGGCTTTGGCTTGAAGACGTGAAACCCAGCAGAAACCTCTCACGCCGGACGCAGCAGCCAAAAAGCAGCTAAAGACTGCCCTAAGAAACCCAAACCCTGAATCTTGAACCCAATGCCCTGAAGTGAAGGCTACTCTGGCCCAGAAGCTTCCAGGGGCTGCGCACAGGTCGAGCAACAGGGGCCCTTCCCTCATCAGGGGGCGAACGCTCTGTGTCGTGGCGTTTTTTGTATGATGGTTTACAGCCCGTCAAAGGCTTTAATTTGTTTGTGGGATGTTGGTACTTCGGCCAGAATGCTACGGCGCGTACGTCGACCGGGCCATTCACCCGAGTGTGGCTGAAAAGTGGTCTTCTAGTGCAGGACAAAGCATAAGGCTCGAAGCACACAAGCATGGCGAGGCTCCATCCCGGTGGCGCGCAGCGCTCCAGCGCCTTGAGCAAGACCTGCACCAGGGAGGCTTGGAGACTTCTGAACTTCGGGCAAAGGTGCCCCAAACCAAGCAAGGTCACGCCACAGCAGCAGGGGTACAGTATCCGCTGGTTCTGGGCATGAAGCCACCGGACACTCTGCTAGAGCTGCAAGCCTCAGAATGCCGGCCCTGAAGCCTGGAGACCTCCTGAAACAGAACTACGCCCGTGCAGAGCCTCTGCTGGAAGCATGGACGTAGCCTCTTGGAAATACCTTGCCGAATTTCTCAACTTGGTTTTGTGGCAGTGGTGGTTTGGACTCGAAACCTCAACTGCTGCGATAGATGGCGTTTATTGTTCCAATGTGTGTAGGCGGCCCTTGGCCGCTCCATCAGCTTACTCCGTACTCTGCTCCTTTGCATCTGATCCAACAATGAGGCTAGTAAGGGACATCACTGACATCACTTACATGTGTTTGAGCTTGGTGTTTGTGGCTACCTTCCCAGCCAGTTCCTTTAGGCTTGCGCCGTGGCACACCTCGCCGGTCGCATGAGGGGCGCTTCCACCATGTGCCGCCGCCCCCTTGGCCAGGAAACCGTCGGCAATCCAAGGCAGCGGGCTGACCTGTTTAGGGTTTAGGGTTTAGGGTTTAGGGTTTAGGGTTTAGGGTTTAGGGTTCCCCCCGAATAGAGGCAAGGATAATTTTGGAATGATGGGGGTCTTCGCTTCAAAGATCTTCAGGGTTTACAGCAGTGTACCTCAGGATGGAAGCCGGAGTGCTGGCAGTCGGCGTAACAACTGACTCGGTCACCTTCAAAATCTCAGTCTGCAGATATGGGGGGGTTTATGAAAACAAGGGTAGACCCCCAAAGAGTGGGATCCCTTATCATAAGGACACCCAATAAGGTACCCCGAATTTCGGAAAACCCCTTTTTTGAGCAACGGACATTTCGGAAAACCCCTACACCCTAAACCCTACACCCTACACCCTAAACCCTAAACCCCCATGTTCAACCCTGATCCCAAGGCCTGCCAGCCAGCCTCACGGAGCCGGCAGAGCAGAGACGGCTCCGCCTTTCGCCTGGAGGCCCGGAAGCTGCGAATCAGTGGCCTGCGATTCAGGATTCATTTGTTTAGGGCTTTAGGGTTTTAGGGTTTTAAGGGTTTTAAGGGCTTTAAGGATTTTAATGCTTTTCAGGCTTTTAAGGGTTTTGAGGGTTTTAAGGGCTTTAGGGTTGTTCTTTAGGGCTGTGAAAGCTGAAGGTTTCGGGGCGAGAACGGGGCTGAGGATCTGGGATCTGACTCTGGGGCCTGCTCGTGGCACAAAGCTTCAGCACAGAAATATAGAGGGCCAGAAATAGTTGAGCAAGTATGGGAGGGTTAAGAGCGTGAAGTCCGTAAACCCTAAACCCCTAAAGTCTGAGTCTCAACACACGAGCCCAAGGATTGAACATCACACCGCCGCGCGCTCCTGGAGCAGGCCCGCAGCAAGCGCCGCAGCGCGAGCCCCCGCAGCCCCTTGCGGCGCTTTGTAGAATATTATTATTCTTCTTCTTTTTCTTCTTCTTCTTAATCTTCTTATTTATTGTTGTCATCATTATTGCTGTTATGATTTTTACTATTCTTATTCTTATTCTTATTCTGAGTATTTCAGTATTTTTAGTACCATTAGTATTCTTGGTATTCTTAACAGTGGGTTTAGGATTATAGGCCTTCGACTCCAAAAAAGGATTCGGGACCCATTCATTCAAGCGATCTCTCGGCTGAGTGCTCCCTTTCTTTGGCGTACTTCTCCGTGAAATTCTCATGCGGCATGCCTTCCAGTTCTTGGCTTCCGCTGCAAAGTGTCTCCCACTGGGTTTTTCGCCGCTGCGACACTCGCTGCAGTTTAGGGCTGGCCAGACACTACAAACAGCGGGGTCGCAATTCTAGGAAGGTTTACGCATGGATGAGCGCCCGACAACAAAAACCAGAGGAAGATGGGCCCTAACTCATCTTCCTTTGGTTTTGTTGTTGAGCACTTAAGGCGTCGGCCTGCTAAGCCGATGGGGTCTCCCCGCGTGGGCTCGAATCCCACAGGTGTCGATTTTGTGTTGGCCTGCAAGAAGAACCGCAAAGTGTCTTTCCACAGTGTGAATAAGTGCGAGCGAAGCGAGCGAAACACTGGAGTAAATTGAACAAATTTAACTGATCAAGTGTTGATTTTAAGGGTTTTTTCAACATTTTTGGAAACTCAAAAATTTTGAAAATTCGTTAAATGGTGCTAAATCCAGGGAAGAATTGCAACACAAACCAGCCTGAAAGAAAGCACTTCTGCTTATTCTGTCTAATTTCAGTGTCTTTCATTCATGTGTAATCCTTCCTAGGACGGTGACTTTTTATACTGCGTAGGGCTTGGGGAGTACAGTAGTGAGCAGTATTGGCTGCAGCAAGCGAAGTGCGTCCACGATGCAGCTGGCCTCTGGGCCAGTCATCAGTGGGCGAAGGTGCTGGAAGAAATCATGGGAAGCATACCTGAACTCAAGCAAGCATGCAAGCTGCGCCACTCGGCTTTTGGGGTGAGCTCCAGGCTTCTTCTAGGGCTTCGTGCAGTGAGCAGTGCGGATGAATCCTCGGGCCTGTGCTGAGACTGTAGACACAAGAAGTGACAATTGAAACGGAACGCGCAGGGTTGGTCGATGGGTGGGCTCCCTCCCCTTCAGAGACTACTCTGCTCCAGGCTTACGATATTGCATGGTGTTTGGATTGTTTGGGAAGAACTCTGCTTCCATTTAATTTGTCGATCCCTTTGGACTGCTGCTCTTTCTCACCTTCCCTCTTTGCTCTCAAGAAGTGGAGCGGCGGCTTCCGCCGCAGCCGCAGCCGAGATCCACCGGAGCCCAGCGCCAGTTTCCTGGGCATTTGGGTGCAGCTGACTAAGCCCTTCCCAACCAACGTGAGGAAATACTCGGCGCAGCGCTGCTCCATACCAGGTGTGCAGATCCAGCGGTTTTTGTTTGCTGCGCAGTGTCCATGTGCGGCCCTTAAGGCTCCCTTTGGAGACGAGCCTCTGGTGAGACGGATAAAAGTGCTGTGAATCTGCATGCATCAAGTTACAGGAGACTGTCTCTAGGCCATCAGTCGAAGGCTCTCAGGTCCGGAACCCTGAAGCTGCGACTCATCATGGAGTGGTTGCCAGGCTTTACGCGTCCGATCTCATTCGTGACATTGTCCGGCACGTGGCCCGCGTAGTGCAGGGTGTTTACGTGAAACTGCTGGGTAATGTTGGACTTGTCGCTGGTTCGGATGGTAGCCCCGCTTTCCACACGAGCTGTGTAGGGATTCCTGATATTCATCGGCAAGAAGCCATGATATCCGGGGATGTGGAGTGTGCCCTTGGGAGTCCCCATGGTGAGCGCGGTCTTTGCCACTGGGATTCTGTCCAGAGCTGGATCCACTTTGCTGCGGGGATCGGAGCCATAGAGGCCGAAATCCTCCATGAAGGCACTCATCATCCCCCCCCCTCCGATGCAAGTCGGTGGGTTTGCTGCCTGATACGAGGGGCCATGCTGCCTGTGGTAGACAGCACCCGCCACGGAGTTGTCATCATGAGAAGTTCTGTATGTGGAGGACCAGTGACTCGCCCCCCGATGCCCAACTGAACTTGCTGGGGGCTCTTTCTGGCGAATGGGTTGAACAGGACTCTTGTAGTGCTCCGGACCAGTCAACTGAGCTGTCGTCTTCTGATACATCGACTCTGGTGGAAGACCATCACTGATGTACGTGCTCTTTGGAGCTGGTGCTTCCTCCGAGTAGACTGCTCTGCCAGAGGACGATGCTTGCCCAGGCTTCAAGGTCGGGCGAGGCATCTCCCATGATGCCAGGTAGCAGGCGTGTTGGGAGGCGCGCTTGGGCACATGGGACATGGCGGCTCCGGCACTGACCAATGCCCCGGCGCTGGCTGACTTGCCCATGCCCGCCATGGCCGACAGCTGTAGCTAGGACAGCTCTGGGTGTTCCAGGCCTTCGGGTTTTTGCTGTTTTGCTTGAACCATGTGTCTGACGAGTTGCTTGTCAGGGTTTAATTGGTTTTGATTGGCATTCGAGGATTCGAGGCTGTCTGAAGCAAGCAAGCCTGTGCCCTAAACGGCCCATCACCAAGACAAGATTCTCATCCACCAGCTTCTGGACCATGGAGAACCTGGCCTCACGGTATTTCAGGGTTGCCGGCTTCATGATGGGATTCGGGTTCAAAGCATGGGGCAGAAGTGATGACTGTTTGGACCTATGCCCCGATGTCGTGATGAAACGACCTGCGCGAAAGGATTCCTAGATCCAGGCCAGTGACATCACCTTCGTTCAGCACATCCTCGAAGGCAAAGATGCAAGAATTGTAGCCTCACGGCACCAAGAAAAAAGAATCTCCTCATGGTTCGTACTTCGTAGCTACGAGAAGGGACCGCTGCAGACGTTTTGCAGCTTGCACTGCCTCAAAGACCCTCAGCCCCTCAACATCTGGATCCTCATCAGTCGTTGACGTTGAACTTTGAAATCCTCATTGTACCCCTGCCAGGTTGCTGATCACATCTGGCTGGACCTCCTGTTGGCATGGAGACTGTTTCAAAAGCAGGCTCCCTTTGGCAACGCAAGTCAGTGGACTGGCCACATCCTAAACAATTTTATGTGTCTGCAGCCCGGTGTAACAAGGCATTGAAGAACATGACGGGCAAATGGAACAGCCGAAGGCAGCGAAGAAGGACATGCGAGCCACCAATCGCGAACCGAAACCTCACATCATCTCTCAAACCTGAAGCTGCCCCAGTACACAAACAATACGACAGGGGATCCACACGATGCTGCTCAGCGTCTGAGTATTATGTACCTGCCCGCTGCTCAAAACTATTCATCATCCTAAACAAAATTCTTCGCGGAATCTCAGTTTACCTTCGCAGGCCCATCGCAGTGCGTGCTTCTGATGCTCGCCCAATTCCCAAACGGCTTTAGGGTCTTCACTTCTTTTCAGGGTTTAGGGCCAAAGTGTTCAAGCCCAGAACCATACAGGGCCTTGCAAGCCCATCGGCGGATTTGGCTCGTTATGTGAGATCTGAGCCACTCGGCTCTCCGCGAGCACGTCGGGGCCATCCGGGCAGTCTAGCAGGAAACAAGATGGACCATGGGTTCGGTAAGAACTTTCCCGGTCCCATCGCGGATCTTGCGCTGAGGCATACCTTCATGCCCTGCTTGCTTACACTTCCCACAAGGATCCTAGACTGAGATCAATGTTCATGTGGGAGCCATCCTGACCATTTTAATTTAGAGGGGGAGAGTCTGCAGGGATACTCTGCGCGGGAGTGGGGCACTCAGTAATTCTCAGCTTGTGTGAGTGTGACTCACTGCTGGGCACTCTCCAGGGACTCCAAGGAAACTCGGAACACTCTGGACTCTCTGTGTGGGATCCTCGGTGGTGGGCACTCCAGGTGAGTAGGGACGGAGAGCAGAATAACTTAATTAAAGTCTAACAAGCAACCCCGCACCGAGAGTGGGGAACTCCCCAAGCAATCGAAAGCCAATGCTTGTGAAGCCCGTTCCTGGTCGTCCATGTGGCGGAGGAGTGCCAGGGCTGGTTGCCACTGGGCCCCGCGAGCACAGGCATAGATGGCAGCATTGATCAGCCTTGGGGGAGGTTTGGGGGCAGAAGAATTCGGGTGCACAGGGGTAGTGGGCCACACCTGCTCAATTTCCTATCACAACCTGAGCGTGGGTTCGGTACGCGTTGAGGGTGCGGGCGGCGACATGCCACACTGCTATTTGTGGCATCTTCAAGCTGCCCACAACCTTCCAGTCCTTGGGAAGCCCCTTTGCAACACCACTTTTTTGGCTTGTGGCTCGACTCCCAGCTATCCAGGCTGCTGCAAAGCTCTCTGGAAGCATCGCCGACAGACTTTGAAGGCGTCAAGAATCAAGCACGGAAAAAGGAGGCACACGACCACCCAACACACAAGGGCGAGTTCACTGGTCGATCGACCGACTTGCACCCTCACAATAAAGCCCGTCAAACACCACAAAGAGACGGCACCAGCCACAGCGATCGTTTTAGACCAATCAAGCAGCCGAGTCCGTCCAAGTGGTGCACACTTGTCACTCAAGTAAAAGACCCCATTCAAACCAAACCAAAACCAACACATGAAGTACAACAGATGGGTGAGCAAGAAGCGAAGAAGTTCCGGGCCAGGCACACCAGCCTTGTACATGGAAAGCCCAATGTCAGCGCTCCAAGCAACATCGCCAGAAATGATCAAGGCTGCATACGCGCAAGGAAGATGAGGTGACGGTAGCAAGCCAAGAAGTTCATCACGAAGAGGACCTCGAACAAAGTCTGTGAAGGCGTCCCTGCTGCCATACCAAGCATCAATGGCACTGAGGATGAAAGACCGGTCAGACGTGGAATGGCAGATGAGATCATCAACGTCGAAGGTCTTCAAATCAGATATAAGCGTCGCTTTGTCCCGGTAATTCCAACGCATGGTGTGCACCAGAAAGATGTTTGGCAGCAAGTAAATGGCAACATAAAGCAAAACGGAGTTGCTTTGTCGAAAACTGCTATCTGCAACAGCGAGCGCAAAGATCTTGATGAGCGTGCCGCACCAGAACATGAGAGCACAAGTCGCTGCAGACCGCTCAATAAACAACGGGGCAAACTTCAGGCGTCCTAGCGGATGACGTTTGCGAAATGCCACAAGCTCAAACACACACCAGAGCGACTTTAAATATTTGGGCGCGTACAGTACCCGAAGTTCCTTCGTCACCGAAAGGCACCCGCCAATACCATATATTCCGCGCTGAAATAGCTCAGGATCTGCTTGGTGAATGCATGCCACATCCAGAAAGCAAGTCTTCGCCTGGAAAGGCAGATATGCAGACATCCTCAAACCGATCACCAAACAAGCTTGAGCAACAAGCACCGTCCATGGGGCGAGCTCGGTTGCAAAGGACCTTCCAGCCAGTATATACTCAATGTTGTGCCATGGGGCGGTGACAATGTCGAGCGCTCGCAACCAGAGCATGACAGCCACGCCCACAGACCAAGCCAACAATCCATGAAACCAACCCAGTTGCATTGTCAATGCTAGGACTTTCCACCTTCCTTTTGACCGCCATGTATGCGACAAGAAGAAATCAAAGCTTGACACCTTGTCTGAAAGGTCCCAGACTTGGGCGGAACGATCTCTGCGTCGAATTTCATGTGGGGAAGTCCAAAGCTCAAGCTGCCGAAGGGCTCGATGGATGGGAATGCCGCGCATGACTTGGTAGTCACTCTCCATGTGTCGCATTTCTGCCATCTTTCTCATGCAAGCACCGGGAACTTTGGGAAACTGGTCCTCCTTTGGGGACTCGGACTCGAAATCGGACAGCGGCTCCAACGTGGCAAGCTGCGGGGACTCCGGCGCATCTTCTGTCTCACCAGTCTGGGGGCCTTCAGCCACAGCTTCAGCGAAGTGAAGCCTGGGCTCCGACTGGATGACTTCCAAGGGGATATCAGGGATATCTTCTCCACCCTGACGACAACATTGTGCTCCCAAGGAGCTGCACATGTGAAACGAGTCTCGCATCGTTGGAACACGAGAGTGGCCGATGAATGCCGCCTGATATGTTGGGGAATTCAGGTCGTTGCATCGCTATGCATGTCGTTGATTCTCTGCATTGTCGGCTCAGAGCAGCTTAGCACTCAGCCATGCCCCATGCCCTTGATCCCAGTGCTTTTGACGGCCATGATGCATGAAGAAGCAGTTGCATTCGTGCCATGTTGAGGAGGCCCTGAACCAATTCACCGCGACCTCCCGTGCCTAACCCGAAATCTCATGAGAGCCACCTGTTTGCAAGTTCGCATAGAACACATCGTCATATAGCACATGACTATGATGTCCGATGCACCCATGCACCCGCTAAAGCCCCCTGAAGCCTGACTTAGGCCTAGCATGTCGCAGATCTGCTGGGCTCTCTGGCGTTTTGCTGGACGTCTGCCACAGCTGCTGCCCCGCAGCGAACCTGGAGAGGTCCAAGTACATCGGAGTTCGGTTTGTGTATTTTGGGGCTAGCTATTGATTTCTTGTCATGGTGACAATTCTGAATGTTCTTATGAAAAAAAGGTCGAATTCACAAGGCACAGGCTCCGGAGACCCTATCCCGGCATCACCGAACGCCAAGCTGCTGGGCCACCAGCAACACAGCCTCCTGCCACTGCGCAACCCGCGCGCACGCAGAGACGGCAGCGCCTTTTTGTCTGGTTAGATGATAAGCCCATAATCTTGCCGTCTACTGCTGTAGTTTGTGAATTCCTTGGGGACCTCGTTGCGCTGACTGCCATACTGCCGGGCGACTCCATAATACATGCCGTTCCGGCGGGATGAGTATACACTGGCTCGTGGGGAAGCATGTCTGTGCAAAATCGGGCCGACTGGAAAGTTGATTTTTTGGAGGATTTGGTTAGGGAGGTCTGGCCGGCAAAGGAAAACTTTGGCCAAGAATGTGGGGTCTGAATGTACCAGATGCAGCTCGACACGTCGCCCAACACCCCAACAGAAACCGTACTCCAGAACCCTGCCCGACCATAGGTGACGACATTGGCGCTCACGGACCATCTCGGTAAAGCCTCAATCGCAGAGGCCGCATGGACCGCACATGTTCCAGCAATCCATATCTTGGGGTACTGTACCGTTTAATTTGTCGAGCGCGATTCGTTTCAGGGACGATGCTCCCCTGCTACGCTCTGCACCTGCTCTCCGAGCCTCCCTTACGCTCGCCCCCTTATTCGGAAGGCATGATTCGAAGGAAACATCTCTGCCTGATTTGGGAATGGTGCTTCAGAGGCCAATCATATATGTTTCGTAGGGAGTTTTTGAATGGCTACTCCGGAAGAAGTCCGACTTCTGTCGGCATGGAGGGGAGGAAAACGGAACAGGAGAGCACTTGGCTTGGGCATCACGATGCAGGCTTCATTCCACAGCTCAGTCATCGAATAGTTCTGTCTCCCGGTGTGATCTTTACAAAACCAATCAGGAGGACCCCTGCATATTCATTCAAGGCTGTCGTGTCTGCTGCCGCGCAGCTACAAAAACATTCAGCGCTTGCTGCCACGCTCCCCCAGAGGCACAAGCCTTGGATGCTTGAACCATAGACTTGGGCAAAGGCCCCTCCAGGCACAGGGTCTTGGGACACAGGCTAAAGCATCAAACCCCGGAAGAATCAAGCTGTTCACGACATGCCAATGAAGGTGTTGGGTGCTTTCTTGGCAGTTGTCGACGAAATAGCAAGCCACCAAGGCGCGGAAACCACAGACGTGCATGAAATGATGTTGGGATCCACCTTCTGCTGCTCCATGCTTCGAAGCAACCTGAGGTGGGTCTTCAACCCTCTGGCGCAGGCAAAGGGCCTACGACAAGTCTGCCGGGCTGCTCCAGCGCCGTGCGCCACTGTGCCGCCTTCTCACACGCGCTGATGGTCATGCCTTTGCACCAAGCTCAGCGGGCTCCAGGTGGCGGATACTCACGCACAAGTCATGAACAAAAAGGAGCGCTTCAGCACAAGCCTTCGCAAGCCTTGAAGACAGGCACGGAAGAGCAAGAACCACACATCAGGTTACCAGGTTTGCCATGCAGTCCTCCATCCGAGATCCTTTCCATGAAAGCTCTGCATTGTAGGTGCGCTCAAACTGGACATGTGAACTTTAAGCAGTAGTTGAGAACGTATTCACTTATGTTCATCTTAGGTCAGCAGCCTTTGAAAACCTCACCGGTTAGAACGACAACTCGGCAGCGACAAAGCCAGGCGACTGTAGGAGAGGACGTCTGTCTCCATGTTGCTCTCCTGCATCTCCTCCCCACTTCGCTGTGGAATCGTGCACAGTACGATGCTGCAAGAGGAGGCTGGGAAAAATGATGGACAAAGAGTGGTGGTTCATGTCACAGGAAGCAATGGTGATAACGGTCGTTCTTGGTCTGAACCCAAGTCCACCCCAATGGCCTGCAGCAGGCCACACGAGGCCTTCCAGAGGCCTGGCCTTTCCCAAGCTCCGAGCATGGCGTTCGCGAGGATGAGGCATAACTGCACGCAAGGGCTTCGGCTTAGTGAGATCATCGCGGCCATCCTATACGGGCAGGTCCTTACGGTCGTGCGCTCCCTCAACTTCCCGAACCAGACCAGAACGCGAGCCTGTGTCTTGGGCCCCAACTTGCAAGGCCCCAAGAATCTCCATCCTGACTCCCCCCCAAACGAGCGAACACCATGGACTTTATGCCGTTGCCCTCCCTCCCCTGCTGGCCCCGTGCTGCGCGGCCGCAGGTTGGAGAATTGACAAGGCAATAGCCCAGGCATCACCTTTCACCTCGGCCCACACCCCACACCCCACTACGGAATGTACCGGAGTGTGCAATGTAGGGCCTCCTGCGGAGTGAGCACAGTAGATTCAGTAGATCACAGCTCGGAGAAAGGCTCACATCGCCCGTGCCTGCGTGTATGTGATGCTAGGCTGCTAGGTGATCGCCCGACATTCAGAGGCAAGGCGCCATCTCTTGAAGCGGCTTGGGGATCAATGGGGGTGCCGTTATTATATTACACTGAAGTTACCGGCTAAGCCAACTATAGCCAACTGAGTAGGCATCGCCCATTCCATGCGGCCGGAGGGGCGCAAGCACTGGCGACGGCGCTGCAGCAGATCGCATCAGCTTCGAGTTCCCTCTGGAGCATATCGCGGTACATCAGGAGCCTTGTATAGGAAAGATTCAGACACAAGGAAATTCATTTGCAAACCGGTGCAAACTGCAAAGCATGTACGGCGATTTGAGAAATGACCAGGAACATGCAGAATCACAATTATTGGAGGAAGCCCGTTGCGGAGTAGAATCGAGTTAAGCCTCAACACCTTACCCTAAAGCTCAAAAAGCAATCCAACAGCACTTGAGGTGAAGAATGGGGCAGTGCTCACCACCTGGCATAGTCATTTTTGGAAATCCGGGGCCCCCAGCGAGTGCATCCAGGACTGAGGTTGGCCGCAGGCACGGATGGCTGCACTGTAGACGATCACATTCGGTTCGAGCCTCTGTTGAATTCAGGGGGGGAAGCTGGGTGAGGACTGTAGGGCTAAGGGCTAAGGGTTTTGGATTTGGGTGTCCTGTTCTACACCATGAGAACTATGCTCGGCAACATGAGCCGAACCAGCCCGAGCGAAACCCTACAAGCCAGAAATGCCGAAATGCCCCCCCCCCCCCCCAAGATCCTCAACCTCCCACATCTCAGGCCAGGCAGCTTCTGGATATCCAAGTTGGACAAGAGCTGCGCTGCCGCACGCCACTCCAGTGCCTCGTGCTAGACATGCTTAGAGTCGAGCTAGGAGCTGTTGTAGCGTTGAGATCTCGTAAACAGGCTTTCTCGACCTCACCACGTGGACATGTCTCAGATCACAATCATACCGAGTCTTGGCATGTCTTGCAGAAAAAAAGACAGCACCTCCCTCGAAGATGCTACATAGAGCCAGACAGACATCTGCGTGCCTGCATCCTGTTTCAACCCAGGCTAGGTTCAGACGAAGTTCCTATAACACCCAAAACCATTAATTCTACACAACTGCCCGGTATAAAACAAAGAGTCCTAAAACATCTCAAGGGATCCAGACTGTTGCCTTTCCCTTCCCTCACTGGGCCTTGCTACACACCGAGATGGTGGCACCCAGAGCAATGACATCAGGGATCATGGCCCCTTCTGTCGCTTGACCTTTGCTAGCAGGCAGGGTGGCTGCTTGCTTTGGACATGGGGCTGGTGTGGTGTGAGTTTGTTGCTTCGAGTTCCGGGATGCGGGTTGTGAGTTCAGGACCAGCTGGAAGGACTCAGCCTCAGGAGCATGCCACTGCCAGATCCAGTTGTTCTTCTGCGTGTCAAACTTCAGGCTTGAGTCTTAAACGTTCTCGGACCCAGAGGCTTGTACTCTATCCAGAGGAGCTTGACAGTCTTGACATGCCTATGCTGCTCTTGTCCCCCAGGCCCCACCCTCCAATGACACGGCCACGTGGCGCAGCAAGTCCAAGGCATGGGTCCACCGCTGAGCTTGCCGGAGCTGCCGCGTGAGCGCACGGAGGTCTGGCCATGCCCTGGAGGCGACTTGGACTTCAATAGGATTGTTAGGATTCAGGTAAAGCAAAGCCGCGTTTGAGTGGGAAAGTTCTCATGATTTCTTAGCTCTTTGTTCACAAATTCCGGCAGAGTCCTTTGAAGCAAAGGCCCCAGCCCCAGAACTAAGTTCCCGCGTCGGGAACAGCAAAACCCCGCATACCATTCCCTAAAGCATGTCCGGGCTTGCATCCTGGATGCAATTCGAGGTTGCTGTTGGCCCTCCGTGGCACTGCAGCAGGCATGGTGCCCATGGCGGCACCGAATGGGCGCGTGCGCGCCAGGTGATGCTGTGGCTACAAGGGGCTCAGGAAAAACACAAAGCCGCATCATCTTCTCTCCTACAAGTATGCCATGTGCTCCTTTCCTCCGCGAAGGTGTGATTGTCACGCCTGTGGAGGGCAAAACTGCACAACCTGAAGCTGAAGCCGTCCTCCCGCATGGTCTGTTCAGGCGAGAGATACACCCCTCAACCCGAAACTAAACCACGAAACGAGGAAGGGCCAGGCTTCGGTTCTCGGCCAGGGAAGTCTTGAACATCAGCTTGTATGGGGAAGTAGCAATGAGACCCCGGGGCCTCAAAGTTTCGAGTTTGGGGTTAGGGTATTAAAACTACGTCCCAGAGCCTTTAGGAAACTGCAATAACCTCAGAGCCCTAGAAACCAGCCACGAGGCCAACTCAGACTGTTTTGGGGCTCCAGGGCCTCTGACCAACACAGCCGGGGCTAGACTCGGTTTAGGGTTTAGGGTTTAGGGGTTTAGGGGTTTAGGGTTTAGGGTTTAGGGTTTAGGGTTTAGGGTTTAGGGTTTAGGGTTTAGGGATACCAGGAGGGCTGCAGGATGCCTGAACAGCACCCGCATCAGCCGGGATCCTGTTGAATGGCGTTTCTTGAGGCAATGCAGCCCGATCCCTGTCATCCGAGGCTAAATCTTCAGCTGCGGAGGAACCCCCCCCCCCCAAAAAAAAAAAAAAACAACACGAAATTCGGACCTTTGATTGTGCCCGCAGTCTTCAGGTGGTCTTGTACCGACTGCCAGTCTTCTCTGGACATCTTCTTGGCAGCCACCGCAGCTCGAGCCCCTGGCAGCGCAATCCAGCTTCGAGATTTGGGCACCCGAAGATGGGCTTAGGTCCTTCAAAGCTCGTAAAGCCCAATTAACCCTACAACCTCCACATATGTATACATGCATATGTAATCAACTGGTGAGGCCCAAACTGTGGCCTAAACCCGCCCTCCCCAGCTCTGTTAAGCTGAAGAGCCTCTGCCAGCAGCACCCCACATACCCCACTTACGCATACCCCACTTGCAAGGCCCTTGAAGGGTTTGGGAGGCTTGTGGAGTGCTGGAGGCCCCTACAAAGTTCTAGGCGGCTGTGCGACAGGCCTGATGGTTGCCACTAGGGCTAGCAACGCGGTTTCCAAAAAATGGCCTGAACATTCGCTGAGCAGGCCCATGGGCCTGGAATACGACAACGGAAATTCGAACTTGACTTTCAAAAGATTAAAGACTTGTTGCTTGGATACGATTCTGGACCCGATTGTTTTTGATTCCGGCCTAGAATTCCCCTCGCCGGAACACCTAAACCTGATTTCCAGAAACCCGAATCGATGAGAAAAGCCTTAAGTCCTAGATGACCCTCATTGGAGACCTTACCTCGAACCGGAAGATCTTCGATATGTTCTGGAAGCTGGCAGTTGCTTGGCTCGTTTGAGTAGAAGTCGGGTGGTCTGCAAGCCCTACAGGCCCTACAAACCTGAACTTCCGCCCGGCCTGCCAGCAAGAGGAAATCCGCTGAGAACTCGATCTCTTGGCCGACCTACAGGGCCCTTCGGTCCCCAATGAACCCGACCTGACACCTTGCATGAAAACAAAACCGGGCTTTTGACCTGCAATGGATTGCAAATTGGAATGTTCTGTGGAGCGGGAGGGTCCCTTCTCCCCGCCTCCGCATGCAGTGGACATCTCCTCAGGGCCAGTGGGGGCATGGACCGTCTGCTTTGTAAGTAGCAATGGCTCCAAGAAGTCTGCCGGCCCGGTTTGCATGTGTTGTTGGCATGTTCGGACGGTCTATGGCAGACACCGGCCTGGCTGGGGGTTTCTGCACTAAGCCGCAGGCACCGTATACTAAAGCTTCTGTATGCTGAAGGTCTACTCACAACGACATGCGCAATATGCCTTACAACAACCTAAGTCCAAAGTGCTCCAAGCCCTAAATCGCTATCACTTAGCCGGCGTAGCAACCACGAAATTGCCCCAAACCGATCGTTGGATAAGATGTTCACGTGTGGAAAAGGAGCAGCAAACCATCGGATACTTAGCTTGGGTCTGGGGCTGCGCAGGAGGTGTGACCACACGGATACACGGGGGGGGGGGGGGGGGGCTGAAGCACAACTCCAGGCCCAATCCTCAGAAAAGACGAAGATTCTTGACACAACAGGTAGAGTCGGTAGAGCACAACACCCAGCCCGGTGCCGAGTTCCCTCAAGACTCCCCAGCGAAGCCGTCCCAAACCCCGCCTCACTGGATTTCATCCCCAACCCCGGCCCCCCCGGAAGCCCCCAGAAACGATCCCAGGGCTCCCGAGAAGGACGCCCGGCCGCGCTGCCGAAGGCAAGGCTGGATACAACGATGCTCGGAGGTGGGGGAGCCTCGTTGGACGATGCTGTGAGTTTCTTCTCCCGGGGTTGGGATGTGGGTGGGATATCTAAAGAATGGGGTCCTTATCGGGGCCCCTTTGCCAACGCGTATGTTCATGCAGTTGGAGCTTAGGCGCTTAGGCTTAGGGCACCAAAACGAAAGCAGAATTCTGAGCGACGCCCATGTGGGGAGACTAGACCTCCCGCCAGGCGAACCCAGGAAGACTGCTGGGTTTACTTCGGAGGGGCCTTGCGGGGATTAGGCATGGTATGCCTTCAGCGTTTCCTGCACAAGCATCTACACACTCAGCCAGATGACCTCTTGCATCCAACCTTGCGTGCTTGGGGCCAGAAGGGTCCCCTAGTGCAAGCTGGGCACAGCCAAATCTCCCCGGATCCAGCCCGATAAAGGCTGGAGACCTGTCCCAGACTTTGGTGTTCGCGATTGCTCATGGCATGAGCAGGAACCCCCAAAACTACCCTAGTAGGCTTAAACCGGTTCAGGATGAGTCAGGATGATTCAAGGCTGGGGTGCGGCCCGCTTTTTTGGAGGCAGCGCCCCTCCGCCATTGTCGTGGTGCCAAGGCTTTTGAAATTACTTCAAGTAAGTACAAGGCTCGAAAGGCTCAGCAATAAGGACAGGAAGTGCTGCCCCTCATGGCAAGGTCACAAACACACATCCACATCCCAAATATACTTGCTAAGTATGTTGCCTGCTGACCGAAGGGACGTTAGGGAATTATAGCCATGGGTTTGTTCAAGGGCTTGCAAATAGCAGCACTTACAGGGGCTTGCACTACTGTCGAGCGGGCCCCGCCCCAAACCTCCAGCAGATTCTGTCCAAGGAGCCTCCGTGGTCATGCATATTGATGGTGGCCAGAAGCCCAATTCTTTTCGAGCCTGGCGTGGGCAGCATCGGCCCTCAAAAAGTTGCAGAGGATGTGGGGCTAATGGAATGTCTGCAGGGATGAACCTCGAAGCCGGCTGAACTCAATACGGGTTTGCAGAAGCAGGGAGAAAGACAGCACACAACTCCTGATTCATGTTGCGGCCTTTGGTGTGCAAGAGGGAAGGATGGAAGAGCAGCAAGTGTCTAGTCTAGTATTTCGGAATCCACGCGACTAAACCGCTTCGCCATCACGAGGGAGGCCCTAAATGGCTCTCTTACGAGATTCCGCATGAAATGCCCACTGCTGGCAGCCAGCCAGCTCTCATGCGCACTCGAACGGTTTCCAGTGCTGGGCATAGACTGTCTGATTGACATTTCTCGAGTACACGATTCTAAAGCGACTTCCGCCAAGTCGACTACTATGCGTCATGTGCACATGGAAAGCAGCAGCAAGCCAGATCCCCCCGCCTTATCTTCGACAGCTCGTGCTTCTGCCTCCGACAGCCTCCCAACGTACATCCCATTCCAGCTGAGCTTCCCTTTCCCTCAATTTCAGTCTTGCCTCTCCATCTTACGTTCGTTGTCCTTAGCTTTTCTTTCTCTGCATCTCTCGTTGCTGCTTCTCTTTCTTTGGTGCTCCACGCACTGTCGCCTATGCCCTTCCACTGCCTCCTTCCCTCTTTATTTTCACTGCACGAGCATGTTTTGTGCATCGGGTTGCAGACGCTCGGGGTATGGAACACAAGCTTCCCACACTGTTAGCCGGCCTGTCCAGTTGGAACTGTGATGCTAAGGCCATCGAGCACGAGCTTGAGTCCTGGCTGACCGCTCAAATCCGTTGAAGAACCCCTATAGGCATCGGGAATCATGGCTCCTTCGCAGTCTCTGTGCCCAGGCCCCTCTTCTGAAAGCAGCAAACGAAGAAGCCCTCTGCGTCGAAGGTGTCCGGGAACACGCCTGTGGCTCCGGCAGGATGGATTTCGCAGATGATGCCATGATGCTCCAACCCTGCCCCACAAAAACCACTGAAACCTAACCAACTTGTTTCAAAGGGCTCGATTACATCTACATCATCTAACCCCTCTCTTCTCCGCCCCCCGTTCCCGAAAATGTCCCTGCCGAGCTGCGCATGGCGCCAAGGGGTCGCGAGTCAGTGCCCCGGTCTTCAGCTCGCGCGCGAACTTCCTGGGCGATTATTGGCTTTGGTTGCAGACCTGATTTTATTGAAGCTTGGGTGACTCTGGAACGATTCTCTTTGAGTGTTCGACTTGCGCGGGGTAATATCTGGCCGTATGCGAGGTCCTGTCCTTTTTCGCAGGGGGGCCAGCGCTTGCTGGCAAAGGCCGGCGATGCACGAGGATTGAAGGGTCCGGAGAGGGATCTTGGCCTTGACATTTTGGATGTCTGAGAAAGCCCATGAGCAGCTGATGAGAATCTACCGCCTGACCTCCCTCCGTCAGTAGCACAAACAGCTGTGCGTGCAGACACTACGGGAGTTTTGACCCCCAGCATCAACCGCAAGGAACAGATGCTCTGTGTCCTTCCGTCCAAGGCACCGACAGGACGGCAGTTGGAAGCGACAGCACTGATGCCACGTCGATGCAGTGGGCGTCAGAGGCTCGGAGGCTGCGCAGAAAGCGACGGCAGAGGCCTGGTTGAGGTTCATAGTGTCATAGGGCTTAGGGTAAAGATTTGTTGCCTGCCAGTCGTTGGGGGGATCACAAGGTGCAGGATCAAAGGCGCAGTTGTAGTTTCATGGAACCGGGGCAAATGCAACGAATGCAATTCTACCCTGGGCGCCTGTCGAAATCGCAGATCCCTCCCATGTCAGCATGGGTTTCGTGTTTACGGTCCATGGGCTGCACCTTCGTTCTCTGAGTAGTTGAAGGTGCACGTGGAGTAGATGAGGCAACCTCCAGGCCGTAAGGCGCGCCAGCCGCTTTGCAGCAGCCGCAGCTGGGTCTCCACAACCCACATCCTGAGCTTCCCAAAAGGAACGAAGTTCAGCAAAGAGATGCCCATATACTCGCTAAAGGCTGATACTCTGAAGGAGGTCGGACCCAAGTCAAACAAAAGTCATTGGACCACCAAATCGTGCCCGAGTGCTGCTCGTCGCGATCTGCTTCCAGCAGGGCAAGGGGCGACTTTCGGATGTTCCCCTTCGTGCGGCTGCGACAGGGGGGGGGGGGGGTCTGCGGCGTCTGCTTCGAATAGGAGGGCCCATTCCAGCCAAACATAGCCGCCTACGAGAAATGCAATATATAAACATGCACGCACATGATAAGCAGTGACATTTTACAAATCAGTACACAGCTTGCGAAAACTAGTTTGCACGGCTAAATGTAGCAGCACCTCATTCGCAGCTTTTCCGGACCTTACTGCGCAGCGACATTACATACAACCCTTCAGCTCAAAAAGCTCCGGACCATCCATACCAACATCCCCATTTTCCCCCACTGCTGAACATCAAGTGCCCACATGTGGCCTCGCAGGAGCAGGGCGCGTCGACCAGCACAGCATCGAAAACCTCGGGCTCATGAGGTCCCATCAACACGAAAATCTTACAAAACGAGACCGTGACGCCGCGAACTCCAATCATCTTCAGCTGGAGCCATTCTGCAGTATTCCCCATGTGGTGCGACCATGGTGAGACCCAGCCTCCGCACTCCTGAGCCTAGCTGGCCGAACTACAACCAACACAGAACCCACAAAGAACCATCACCAACAAACCACCTTTCCCTGAAACCCCTAGACCCTATGAAACCGCATGCAAACCCTAGACCCTAAACCCTACCCGCTAAACCCTATCAGAGTCCCCCTCAACCCCCCCCACCCCCCCGATGCCTGTGGCAACCGACGACCAACTTCTTCCCCACGGCCACGGAGCTGGAGCCACTGCCTGCCACGGTCAGAGAGCCTTTAGGGTTTAGGATTTCGGGGTTTCGGGGTTTAGGGTTTAAGGTTCTGTTAGCAGGGAATGAGGGAATTAGGGCCCTATATTGTGCCCTTCAAGGGGTTATATAGGGTAGCTCATCCCCCCCATTCCCTACGAAGCAACAGTAAAGTGTGGCCTTGGGCTTCGTAAGTCTTACAGTCTCATGGTGACGGCCTCTAAAACATGATTTCTTTTGGGGTCCTTATAAGGCGGCCCCTCTTGTTTAGGGTACCCCCCCAAAAGAGAGAATCATTTAGAGAACTGACCTTGCAGTAGCTAAGAGAAGCCAAGGTTCGTAGACCCAGACTTCAGAAGATTCTCCTTGGCTGCCCACCGCCTGCCCCAAAGAAATATGAGGTTGAAGGCGGCAGCACAAAAGCAAGAAGAGCAAGCAGCTAGCGACAGCTAGTGCACGAAGTGTTTCAGGCCCAGTCTCGTGGAGCTTTTCGGATCGATCTGGATCGATCCTCTGTTTGCATACTTGGGCCACATAACAACCCCTCCTCCTAGCTCGAAACCCGCGCTTGCGGAATATTGCGGAATATTGTATTGCGTGGATGAGCATCTTCGCGGGGGTCCGCGGGTGGGCGTTTTGGGTCTACCTCGGAATGCATTGGCTGGACGCTGCTGGACACAGAAAGTCTCCGAGCTTCCTCTCACCAAAAGCCTCGCAGCTTTCTCCCCCTATATCTACACGCCTTGAACAAAAAACACGGAAACCTCGTGAAGCCTAAGCCACGTGGCTCATTCACGACGAGGCAGCTCCCATCGCCCCTGTCGGCAAGCCAGCTCAGCAGTTGCCTCTTGGGTCTTCGGAGTTGGGGGGGTTGAGCAGGGTTTACTTGCTTTAAAGATGGCTGCGCCCTGCCGTTGACTCACCGGAATCCATCCAGACATCCTAGACACGACATAAAGACATATAAAGTTGCAGACAGAGTGGCGTTGACTTGCTGCCAGGGGCTGCACAAAGATCCAGCAACAACAGCTGCGACCTGTGTCTTCGTCATTGCTTAAAGAATTTTAAGCTAAGAAGGGCAATGCAAGGCACACGCACAGTCAAACACAACATACCTTGAATGACTGGGCATACGGCATGAGTATGTACTGAGTGCTCAGCACCACCTTTAAACTTGCAACTGCAACCGTTGAAGAACGTCAACCGGTCAACCCGGAACCCGCAGCAACCAAAGCCGAAGTAGGAGGGGAGGTAGTACAAAACTTATCTCGAACCGATGGCCTCTGCGATGGAAGCACTTCGCATGCTCTCCGCAGAACCTGCTCTTGAACTGTCGACAGAATGAGGTAAGCGCCACGCTCACAAACGCGTCCGGCACCTCTAGAACCCTCTCCATGGCATCATCAGCGCGGGAACAGCCAACCTTGAAACCCCCCAAATTCCCCACCCTCCGTCCTCGGCGGGCAGCATTGACGTCGCCTCTTGAAAGTAGATGGCCCCAGTGAGGTGATCTGTCAAGCCTGCCATGAGATGTGGTAAGGGAGGGGGTTTCTTGTGCCCGAGCGGCCTGCAGGTAATTTCCTCTCAGACTTGTGCGCGGTGGCACACCCAGAGACGCTCTAGATGTTCTCAGCCACATTTTGATTGATGTTTGGTTTTGCCACCTGCCTCGCAGCCAGAAGCTGGGGGCATCTGGGGCTTTCATCCCCATCGTGCATGGGATATTCTTGGGCAGCTATTCAGAAGCCTGCACATAAAGTGGTATTCAGCCAATTCCCAACTGAAACACAGGGACGTGGAAGGGATTGCCTTGAAGGACTTTCATACCGACATCAAACCAGCCGTCCATCACCCCCTTTCCTTGCACTAACAAAACTGGAAGACGAAGACTGGAAGCCGACGCACCGCAGAGTGTTCGCTCAGCAAAAATGAGTGTTGAGCAGCGTTCCGCGCCCATGTTTCTTGGTGGAGGGCGTCAACCCCCGGCGATTTGCTGGCATTTCGCAGGCCCGGGCCTCCCAACTTGCCACCGCCCTCGAGGAAGAATCCCTCGGAGAGCCAAGGAACTGGGTGGAGCCCGCAATCAGCCCTGCAGGGGACGGGGAAGATCTGGAGCGATAGACACCATAACTACTCAAACACGCCCTCCGGAAGCGATCTTCTAGGGCCATGGCTTCAGGTTTCAGGCTCCCATCCTCTATGAACATCCGGCGGTAAATACTTCAGCAGCCAGTCTCCCCCTGCATTCCCTCGCATATCCCATGACTTGCCAAGAACCCTCACCCTAAACCCTAAACCCTAAATCCTAAAACCCTAAACCCTAAACCCCTTATAAGAACCTTGAGACGTCTCCTGGACATGCTGGGCCTCTGCAAGATGCCTCGCAGCTCGCTGGAAGCCTTTCATGCACCACTCAGACAGATACACATACATATATCTACATTATATCCACACAGTTAGTACTATATATATAGAGAGAGAAAGAGGATATATATTACACTCAATATACACATATATATATATATATACATGTGTATATCACCAGCATGAATATTGATATCATTAGTCCAAGTTGCCTGTGGAAGCTCTGGGATTTGGGCTGAGGATGCTTGAGGGTTTGCGACGTGCCCACGGTGGGCTCCCGGCCCCTTCTACAGGGGGTGAAAGCCTGTCCATTTGGCAACCGGGACCCCAAACCCCAAACCCTAAACCCTAAACCCCAAACCCTTTTTTGCCACTGGACTTGGGGACTAGCCAGATCGGAGCCCCTGGCTGTATTAGCTGAGGGCCGGACTTGCAACACCAGAGATGGACACACAAACAGTCTCACACTCGTGACAGCGAGACCCTGTACACTTGTCATCCAAAACCCTGTCAAATCAAAATAATCACGCTTCAAATTGTAAACCCCAAACCCTAAACCCTAAACCCGCCCGAAAACCGTCAAAAACGAGGGCCTTGACCACATTGGCGCGGACGCTGCGCTGCAGCGGTCGTGCAGCGGCCCGGAGCAAGCGTCGCATGGCCAGGCCTCCCGCTACTGTACAATAAGGAAGCCGCCATAAGGAAATCGGGCTCAAGTTTCGGGTCTGAGATGCCAGGGCAACGTGTAATAAATTATGGGTTCCCGATTGTCCTCGACTCTATGGAACTCTCCAAAAAGATCCATCCAGACCTGCTCTGCGTTCACCACGCATCTCGATGGTGCAAACTCGCATGACCACAGAAGTGGCGCCTGCTCTACGCAACGAAGCCCTACAAAGAGTTGCAAGGCAGATCAAAAAAGGCCCCGAGAGACCGTGTGGTTGCACGCGGCCTCCCGAACGCAGACGCGCCATCCTGGCAAAGATCATTGGGAGCTTCTGCCGCTCTACACGGACAAAGATGCAGTGTGCTGGGAGTGATTTTTTGAGCTGGAAGGGCCCAAGAGCCATGCGACAGAGGAAATATCGGGCCGAACCCGGAAAAAAATCAGATCTGTCCACCGCCAGGTCCTAAAACCAATAAAGAACCCAGATGCCCCGTTGCTCCCCCCCGCCAACAACAAACATGAACCAGAACATCAATAAGACCCTTCCACCCTTCCACCCTCTCAAAAAAAACCTCAAACTTCATTTCAAACCCTGCAAAACAAACCTTGCCTGGCAACAAAATCTCGTGGTGCCAGGGGTGGACGTCTCAGGCGTAGGCGTTTGGGCCCCGGAGACTTCAACCTGACCGGGGGGTACCTGTTTTTGGGGGGTCCTACCAGAAGGATGCTACGATTTTGTCGGTATGTGAGACCCCTACTTGTAAAAATGCAGGTCTCTTTCAAGTCGGGGGGATATCAAGAAAGTTTGGAAGGGTGCAGAGCGCTCAGGCGCGCAGGGTTCGGGCAAGGACGCGACGCAGAGGTGTGGGGGCGGGGGGGGGGGGGGGTTGCGTCAGAGCTTATACGTCATTCGAGCGGCCATGGAGTTTAGAGAAGTCGTGCGCCCTCCCCCACCTCAGCTTTGCATCTAGCAGTAGGAGATGTGTCTGCCAGCTCTCGGCTGGTAGTCCCAAGCAGGTAGAGCTGTAGGTGATCTTATCGGGATAGACCTGCGGCAGCAGAGGCACTGAATAGAACCCGTAAGCAAGGCCCCCTCTCACTGCAACTGAATCTAGAACAATCATGTTGGGACATGTTTGAGGTTTGAGTTCAGCCACTAAACACGCTCAGAATACACCTGAAGGCTTCAGCTCTTGCGTAGAATGAAGTTGGATCGTACACCTGCTGCATTCTGCCTGGCATCCACGCCCTACTTCCTGTCCCTGCACAAAGTTCAAATGGCCATCTTCGAGCCCCACAGTGCAAAACATGGTTGCAACAGCGCATTCACCGCAGATCATGCACATCGCCTGTCTGTCATGCATGTCACGGACCAGCGCAATGGCCTGGATGCGGGGATATAGCATATCATTGACAGTAGCATGGATCGGCATACAAGGATAACTCGTGCCACAAGCTACAGGCTTTGGCTGCTGCCGGCGAGTCACGAGAAGTCGCTACCCAATGACCCTGCCCAGCGGCTCGCTCCCACTGCTTCGCCGCTGAAGCCGCGCGCACCGCAGCGTTGTAGGTGAAAATGTTGGCTTCACACTGGCCGTGTCCTGATCTTGAGGCAACAAGGCTGTGAGAATGGCCCGGGACCAAAAAAATGCCCGTGACCTTCCGCCAAGACTCTCGAACCACATCCTGCCCTTTTTCGAGGTTCGAGCAGCCCTGTAATCTCTTGAATTGAATTTCCCACTCGTATAAGCCCTTGGAGGACGCCTCCCAAAGTGTCGTCCGAGCTTCGCAGCCGCTCCATTAGCCCCAGGGCCCCTTCCCATTGCTCACCTTTCTCACACGCGCTGAGCGCAGCCCCAAAGGAGATGATGTTGGGCTGCACCTTAGGTTTACACAGTGGCACGCATTACTTATGAAAAGACACGACCCATACAAACACGCGCGGCAACGACTGGCGTCGACCTCCACGCGGTCGCCGCGCGGGCAACCATGCTGCTGCATTAGTTTAGGGGTTTTTGTCTGTGCGTGAGTTCAACGGGCATCTCCCTGTGCTAGGTTCGGATGACGTGCCATGGGACCAGGGGTTTTTTTACGGTGCTGGGGTCAGGGTGGGAGCGCGAGTGGAGTTACGCAGCATGGGCTAATCCAACTCCGACATGGTCGGACCCCCCTTCTGTAGGGTGTTGGTCTTTGGGGGTCCTTGGTCCTTGGTCCTTGCGTCCTTGGATTTTTTGCAGGGTCCCCAGGGGGCGGAATGCCAGTCATCCTCGGCCACTCTGGCTCAAAGCTGTCGCGGGGGCCGTGGGGGGGGGCTGCGCATGGTGCGGTCTCCTTCTCCTCTGCCGTGAGTGGTGCTGCTGGTGGTGTGCCGGGTGCGCCAGTGAGGTTAGCCCACCCGTGTGGTCGGCGGTTGGGCTCTTTACGCTGTCGTCTGCGGGAGGGTTCTTGTTTACGGGGTCTTGACCCTAAGTTGCCTTCAGGGCTGTGTACGGGGTGGGTGGATTGGGGGTCCCCTCGGGTGTTGGCGCGCATGGTGCGAGGTCCAGGGAGAGGGCGGTTTTGTCAGACAGATGATTCCTCTTTTCACCTTTCTCTGGGGGGGGGGTTGGTACGGGGCGGGAGGAAGGGTAGCGCTGTTTTGCGGGCCTCGGGCGGGATGGGAAGGTGTAGGGCTCCACGGGAGGCCTCTAGGGGGCTGGCACGTTTGCGGGTTAGTCGGGCGGTACGTCGGGGTAGACAGGCGGGAGGCTTCATGAGGAGGATGCGGGAGAAACATGCTCGACTTCGGCGGTGCAATACAAGCATACGTATGGCAACATGGAACATGAGAGGGTTAGGGGTAACAGGGGGAGAGACGGACCAAGAGCTCAAAGTCAAGGTACTGCTCACTCGAATGGCGGAGCAGCAGTGGGACATTGTTTGTCTTACGGATTTGCAGTTTCCGGAGGATGGGATACGTGAGTACCATTTTGGGGGACGAGAATGGTTTCTGTTGGTGCGGGGTATGGTGGGCTTCTTGCTGTCGGATGTGTGGTATGATTGGTGGGAACAGGGCGGAGGGGTGGTGTACCAGAGGCGGACAAGGGCAGCGGCCATTAGCATTCCCAGACGGGGCTGGCGTAGGGGTCTCTGGATTTGCTCGGTGTATGCACCTACAAGCGCGTCGGGAGTTCGGGAGCGGACAGCGTTGAGACAGGAGGTGTCTGTTTTGGTGGAGGCGGCTCCTCCTACAACCATGGTCATCATAGCAGGAGACTTTAACGCCGAAATGGGCAACAACGTGGATGTGAGTAGGTCGGGACACAGTATCATGGGCCCGTTCGCGGGGCCAAAGGTCACCAAGCCGGGGGCAGAATGGCGGGATTGGTGTGAGCGAAACGGTTTCAGGGAGGCTGGCAGTCGGTTCAAGCAGAGGCGCCGCTGTACATGGCGGCACCCACGGTACCGCTCGGATCATGAACTCGACCATTTTTTGGTTAGGGAGCAAGACTTGTGGCATCTTCAGTCATGTCGCATCCTGTATGACGGTCCGAGTGTTAACCTGGAGGGCCCCCTGTTGTTAACTAAACAATGTGTTGTTTGTAGCCTGACTTGTTGTTAGTTAATGTGAGTTGTTGTTTCTAGGAAACAACGTGTTGTTAGTATGTTGACTTATCCGGGATAAGAAACACCATGGTGTATTTCTAGTTGGTTTGTCGGGAAAACACACAACGTAACATCCAAAAACAGAAAAAATGACTTGGAATATCACGGTTTTCACATCAATACCAGCTATATTTGGAACTACAAACATACGCTGGCAGCTGCCGCCTTAAGCAAGTACGTGTGGAAGAGCCTGCTCTAGGCAGCCGCCACCTTGTTTTTGTACTATACAAATTAACAAGTGTCGGCAGCCGCCGTCTTGTTTGTATTGACTACAATACACCGCCGCAAACGCCACCTTGTTTGCATTGACTACAACACACCGCCTTGTTTTTGTGCTATACAAACAAGTGTACGGCAGCCGCGGCGCCACCTTGTTTGTACTACAAAACGCCTTGTTTCTATTGACTGTGCGTGCTTGTGGAAGATCGAGCCTGCCCTGGCAGCTTTGCAATTATAACCGCATGCACCAACGCACGCAGCTTTTTTGGGCCAACAGCAAGCTGATCTAGCTGGATATAGCCACAGTCCTGCAATGAAGAAAGGGTTCCTGAACAAGCAGAATGGCATCTTCACAAGTGCCAGGCCGGCTAGTCGATCGGAGGACGCCAGTGACGCCGGTGCTGGGAACAAAGGCAGAAGCTCGGAAAACGCCAGTGGCAGCAACCCGTGTGGAAACTCCAGCACTGGAAGCCCCTTTGATTGCTACACCAAGGATGAAATCCAACACTTTGTCATGCAGCTGAAAAGCATGCAGGCCATGGGGATTGATACCTACGTGACCGATCGGGGCACAACGTTCAGCCGTTCCGAGCTTCAGGAGATCATCAAACGATTTGATCGTTAGATTCGATCGCTCTAGACCCTTGCTGCGTTGAAAACTATATACTGCATGTGCGTGCATGCTGAGGCCGTAGGTCCCTGTGTCCAACATTCGTGTCCAATTAATTTGCCTTGATGCCAGTACGCACATGAACTTAGGACCTTTGAAAATATTGCACAGTCCATTTTCCGGTTGCGCTAAAACGTTGGGGATCACACAGCTTTGTGCGACACCTCACAAGCAGAACCGCTCTGCAGGGAATTGATTGACGTAGCTTCCCTTCGGCTTGAACAGCCGTACACGACATAGTATCCCGCAGCGATGTGCCAGCGAACGGCAGGTCGCACAGACTTGTTTACACGCTGCCCCTGGTCCATGCTATAGTAGCCTGCATGCTCGAGATCGTGCTCTCTCTGTCCCGGGCCACGTCTTAAGCCACGATCTTGTTCCTTTAGACTTTAAACCTTCCTGCATGGTTGGGCATTGGGAAATTGGGGGCTACGATCTTTTTTGTTGCTTTGGCTGCCAGGTTCTTGATGATATATCTCCCTTGCCCGCGAGATCTACGTTGAAGGACTGATGTGTGCATGCACTTATATGCCGGCGCAGGGGGGTCAGGCGTATATATGCATTGGATCGTGAGAAGCATGCCTGTATCGATCGTTGCATGGCTCCAAGATCGCGAACTGATGGGGTCAGGACACATGCATGCAGGCATCTGGCAGCAAGCGCACCTCAGCACACGGCATGCTTCCAATCCTGAGCCGCGATGAGCGCCGCATGCAGCGGCGTCTGCAGGCCCAGCAGCCGCTTGTCTTACAGGTAACCGTCTGTTTCGCTTTGATTCTTCTCCGGCCCAATTTCATTTAGGCACTGGCAGCAGTGGCTGACCGAGAACCTGAATCGGAACCCGCTGGCCCAGCCCGGCACGCCATATCCCTGTTTCTTGCCTGCACGCAGCCATCGTCAAAACCCTATACCCTAAACCCTAAACTCAAACCCTAACATATATAACCGCTTCACCGAGACGACATGCCATCGCCCAGCCCAGCTGCTGACTCCACCCGCAGCCGGACGCCGCACCAGAGCTCCTTGGCGCTTCATGTCGCCTCACGTTGTTGCTTGTATCCAATTTAAGCCGCTGCATCCGAGATCTGCTTCGCCGAACGCATGTCCAGCTGTACGTCGGGACCCCGCCTGGCTGCTGGGCTCGAATTCTTTCATGTCCAGATCCATGCACGCATGCAGCGAACGGATGTAGTTACACGTGGTCCAAGGCGCCCTGCAGGACTTGTCAGCTGGATCTCGATCAGCTGTGTTGATTGGAAGCACGCGAGGCCTCTTACTTTTTCCTATTCCCTTTTTACAAGCGCAATGCACTTGTGATCATGTGTGGCAGGCTCGAGATCCGGATCCCAGCCGTGTTCAATGAAGACATCTCCGGGGGAGCGCTTGGGCAGCTGGGATTCAAATTGGGTCACGCGAGCCACGGTTTAGGGTTTAGGGTTTTGGGTTTCAGGTTTAGGCTTTAGGGTTTAAGGGCTTAGGGTTTGGGGTTTAGGGTTTACGGCTTGGGGTTTAGGGTCCTCTGAAACTCGATCCAGGTAATGCTCTGCAGATGCCGATCCTTGCGCACAGTCCGGCAAGCACCTGGGACTGCAATCAGCCGGACTCTTGAGCCACGGTTTAGGGTTTAGGGCTTTGGGTTTCAGGTTTAGGCTGTAGGGTTTAAGGGCTTAGGGTTTGGGGTTTAGGGTTTACGGCTTGGGGTTTAGGGTCCTCTGAAACTCGATCCAGGTAATGCTGTGCAGACGCCGATCCTTGCGCACAGTCCGGCAAGCACCTGGGACTGCAATCAGCCGGACTCTTGTAAATCAGTTTAAACATGCTGATGCTCGAGCGTCTCTCGCCTGCAGGTCCCGATGCCCAGCGCCTGCCCTGGCCGCAGGGATCCTCGCCAAGCACCTTGGCCCACCTTATGGTCTCCAGCATGAGAATATTTCACTTCAACATTCAGATGCTTCGATGCTTCGATTTTGACCGTGCCTGCACACCGTGTTAATTTCATTCTAGCCTTATGAACAAAGGCCTGGATGCCGTCTCGATCGGAGTCACCCGCCCCAGCCACTGGTCTGCCCTTGTGCTGCTGGCGAGCTCCCCCCAAAATGGAACTTGTTTGGGGTTTAGTTTTAGGGTTAAATAGGGTTTAGGGTTTCGGGTTTAGGGCTCCAAACACCCCTGCAGCCTAGGCCACATGGTGACCTGGCGCGAGGACTCCCCCATGGACGTCTTGGGTTCCGATGCGACTTCCTCGTCCTCGCGATCGTCGAGCAGCAGCAGTGAGTCGTGAGACAGCTGCAGCGCAGCAGCCGCAGCATCAGCAGTTGTAGACCTCCTTTGCAAGGCCTTAGCTTCAT